CCCAACCCAACTGTACACCACAATTGGTGTACAGTCACATGTGTTGGCATGCTACACAATATATATTTTAACATGTACAACTTCAGAAACGCCTCAGAAACCGCATGCCATACTTACTCACCACGAGGAGGCATGGCATGCACTTCATGGCAACAGGAGTCAAAGAATCCCATGTCATACTCGCTCACCACTGCATACATCTCTTAAAACGCCTCAGATATCGTATTTTGAGTCGACTCAAAAATATTTTTGAGGCACCTCGTGCCCCTCCATCGCCACCACGCGCTTGCACACCATCATGCGCGGGTTGAAATGGGGACACTTGGCCCCTACAGGTCTGAATCACCACGAGCTCTATAGCAGCTATACTCACCACTGTGTGTGCATGCCTCCTCTGCTTCCTCTACTTCCACCCATGCCTGCCTCCTCTACTGACACCCATGCCTGCCTCCTCTACTTACACCCATGCCTGCCTCCTCTACTTCCACCCATAAACCCCCTGGTCAGTGGAGGCATGGCATGCACCTCATGCCCCTCCATCGCTACGATCCGCTTGCACACCATCATGCGCGGGTTGGATGGGGGGAGAGTAGGCGACTACAGGCGCCACTACAGCACTCACGCACCACTACAGCAGCGACACTCACCACTGTATGTGTTTCTGCATGCTTGCCTCGTCCCCCAATCACCATCCCTCTGGGTGGAGGAGGCATGGCATGCACCTCATGCCCTTCCATAGCCACAATGATTTGAGACGTCTCAAATCACGCTTACTCTCCCGCGGATTTTATATGGAGAAATTGTTTGTTGCTTGGAAAACAGGTTGTAACTTGCAAAAGTTACTTGTTCGTGCGAGGCTTCCGAAACACCAGCTGGCGAGTTGTGATTCAACAACGTTACGCCTCGAGGAGTGAAGACCTCAGCCCTTCGGTTTTTTCCAGGGTGTTGTGGATTGGCTGCCCAGATTTCAGCCACGGTTGTACCCAACCTCGATTGTTTCTTGATGGGTAGTTCTTGCTTAAGGGTTGCTCTTTCTGCTCTAGTTTCTTATTCCGCTAGCACTGATGAAGGATTGACGGGGGTCTGTCCCAGTCGTCCGAAACATGTTTGCGTTTTAATCGTTGTAGTGGACTTAGAGCTCAGTTTCGATCTTGTTTTTTGAACTGGCAACACAAGAGTTTTAAACTCTACTGTTTTTCTTCTGCTAAAGAATTCTCCTAAGCTGCAGCTCGCCTAGTCTCATGGCTGAAGGTACTTGGGGTCTCCCAAATTCTACGGGTGACGCCGGCTTAGGAAATTCGAGTTTCGCACTAGTTCCCCGTAAAGCAGGCCCATTCCCGAAAACTTACGCGGGTTACAAACGTTCTCGCAACGCTGACGGAATCGCTGGCGCATCTGCACCAATTCACGAGGACAACGAGCATAACAAGCAGACAGGAAATTCTCCCGACGCTGCCGACATGGATTCTCTGAACGACGAGGATGTCAACATGGCTCCCGTCAACCCGTCAGCTGCCACTAACACGTCCGTCACGATTCCGGAGCTTTTAAAAGGCTGGACGACGGCTGCTGTCAAGGGCTTCAGAGAGGATTTTAAGGCGCTCCTCAAGGCGAAGTCCAAACTGAAGAAGATGAAGACGCTAAACGGCCAAGGTGTGATCTTACACAGCATCCGCACCAAGGTCGTGGAGTTCCAGACGAAGTACCCGGTTACTCGGGAGAAATCTGCCGCGTCCGTCGCCTCGGTTCATCTCGAGAACCAGAAGCGCATTCAGGAGGATTTCATCAAGTCTAAGGAGTTGGAGGTTGAGGAAATCCTGGCGGCGTCCTCCTCACATCTCACCACTCTGGCTACTAAGCTCGAAGACTACATCAAAAGCTTGACTGCGGATCCGGATCTAACCGTATCTGATGCGGCTAGAGAAAAATTTCGGAAAATCAAAGGGATCTGCATCGAGAAAGCCAAGTCGGAGATTGCTGCAGCCAAAGATGATATCATCATCAAGGAGCTGGAGAGACAGAGGATCAGGGACGCTGAAGATTTGAAGAAAGCAGCCGCTGCCGAAGAGATGGAGCACCTGGAAACGGATCCGACGATCAACGAGCTTGTTCGAAAAGCTACTCAGAAGTACGCGGAGACGATGCGCAAGGAGATTACGGCGAGCGTCGAAGCGAAGCTTACTGCCAAGTTTAAGAAGAGCTTGTCGATGGGATCGCAGGATTCCAAGTCGGCCCCCGCAGTAGCGAAGCCCAAGGCGGACCCGTCAAAGAGCCAGACGAACACTGGCTCCAAGGCAGATGTACCGAAGGCTACGCGGCGTCGCGGGAAAGGAAAGAAGAAAGCGAAGTCTTCAGGCGGCGACGGAGGGAAGGGCCAACAAACTTCCTCAACTACGGCCCAGGTTCCAAAAAACGGCGGCGGCGGCCCAGGAAAAGGGCCGCGCAAGAACTAACACCTCGGGACCTCGCGCTCCGCTGGTTCGGGAAGCTGACTCTACGACAGGCGCAGTCACGCATTCTGAACCGGGGAGTACACAACCTGAGCGCTAAGGTTTTGTCTCGCGACGAGACCAAAGCGCTCGGGATGGGACTGAAGTTCATACCAACGCCAGCCTGGAACTTTTCCATCGAAGCAGATTTGCATCAGCTGCATCGACAGATCTCCCTCGACTTTTTCTTCAAGGGGAAAGGACCATCAGCTTCATCACGTTTCCGGGTGAAGAATCCTAATTGGTGGCCCGATCGGGACGAGGTCCCGGAGCAAGTCTTCAAGGAGGCGCGAGCCGACCTTTCTTTCCTGCTGAAGACGTGTAAGCCGCTGCGTGGACAGAACCTTTCACGGAGTGTACGTGCGGCTATACGTTCCCTATCGCTCGACAGCAGCATCGTCATCAAGCCAGCTGACAAGAATATAGGAGTTACCGTGATGGATCGAGCACACTACGTCGCGATGTGCATGGAACACCTGAACGACGCGGATGTCTACAGACCGGTTCGTCACGACCCGACTCCTCGAGTTCTGCAGCAGCTGAGTGAGCTGAAGGCGACATGGGGGCCTGCTTTCCCAGACAGTATTTGGAAATTTCTGTTTGACAAACCGCCAGGAGGGTGGCACCCAGCGGCGTTCTACATCCTGCCTAAACTCCATAAGAAGTTACCCGTGGGACGTCCGATTGCAGCTTCTCATTCATGGGTGACGACTAATGCGAGTCGATGGCTGGATGCGCAACTCAGACCGCTAGTTTTAAAACGAGCTACCTACCTGCGCGACTCTCTCGCACTGCTAGCGAAGCTGGAGACAACGGCCTTCCCGCCTCATATCCTCCTAGCTACCTACGATGTTACCTCGCTCTACCCCAGCATATCCATCGACCGAGGACTCGAAGCAGTTAGCAGTTTCTTGACGAGAGAAAACCCGCAGCTCGCTCAACCGCTCATGGCCCTTCTGGGTTGGGTTATGAGAAATTCCTTTGTGGAATTTGACGACCGGATGTACCACCAAGTGCAGGGGACCGCGATGGGAACTCCTGTCGCCGTTTGCTTCGCCATCCTGTTCATGAGTCGTCTCGATGAGCTGCTGAAGGAGAGATGGACCGGGGTGTCACCTTGTTACCACGTCCGATATATTGACGATGGCCTTATCATTTGGCCAGGCGCGCAGTCTGATTTGGAGGAGTACCTGCGCACCTTCAACGGCTTGGATCCGAACATTCGGATCACGTGGAACATCTCGGAACGTTCCGTGGATTTTCTGGATGTGGTTCTTCACAAAGGGCCTCGTTTCCACGAACGTGGTTTCCTAGACCTCGGTACTTACCAGAAACCGATGAATAGGTACCTATATCTCCCCTTCTCCTCCTTCCACCCGCGGCACTGTAAAGAGGGGTTCATCCGCGCCGAACTGCAGCGCTACTTGCTACGCTCGACCTCGGCGACGGCCTTCCGAACGACGAAGGTCGCTTTCTTCCAGCGACTTCGTGCCCGCGGTTACCCGCCAGTCTTCCTACGACCGATCTTCAACGGCGTCCATTTCGCACAACGTGCGACTCTTCTCACCAGCACCCTCGCTAACCAGTTACAACGACGAACATCTCCTCCTACACGCGGGCCCCTAGTCTTGAAGACGACCTACACACCTGTGTCGGCTCGACTCGGGCTAGGGGTAGTTTTGAGACGTCTCAAATCACGCTTACTCTCCCGCGGATTTTATATGGAGAAATTGTTTGTTGCTTGGAAAACAGGTTGTAACTTGCAAAAGTTACTTGTTCGTGCGAGGCTTCCGAAACACCAGCTGGCGAGTTGTGATTCAACAACGTTACGCCTCGAGGAGTGAAGACCTCAGCCCCTCGGTTTTTTCCAGGGTGTTGTGGATTGGCTGCCCAGATTTCAGCCACGGTTGTACCCAACCTCGATTGTTTCTTGATGGGTAGTTCTTGCAAGGGTTGCTCTTTCTGCTCTAGTTTCTTATTCCGCTAGCACTGATGAAGGATTGACGGGGGTCTGTCCCAGTCGTCCGAAACATGTTTGCGTTTTAATCGTTGTAGTGGACTTAGAGCTCAGTTTCGATCTTGTTTTTTGAAGTGGCAACACAAGAGTTTTAAACTCTACTGTTTTCTTCTGCTAAAGAATTCTCCTAAGCTGCAGCTCGCCTAGTCTCATGGCTGGGTGGAGGAGGCATGGCATGCACCTCATGCCCTTCCATAGCCACAATCCGCTTGCACACCATCATGCGTAGGTTGGAGGGGGACTTGGCGACTACAGACGTGAATCACCACGCACTCACCACTACAGCAGCGACACTCACCACTGCATGTGTTTCTGCGTGCTTGCCGCGTCCCCCAAACACCATCCCTCTGGGTGGAGGAGGCATGGCATGCACCTCACTCCCCTCCATCGCCACCACCCGTTTGCACACCATCATGCGCGGGTTGGATGGGAACTTGGCGACGAGGAGGCATATTCAGCAATCAGCATTACAGCAGCTACACTCAAACACTCACCACTGTATGTGTTTCTGCGTGCTTGCCTCGTCCACCCATGAATCCCCTGGTTGGTGGCGGCATGGCATGCACCTCATGCCCCTCCATCGCCACCACCCGCTTGCACACCATCATGCGCGGGTTGGAAGGGGACTTGGCGACGACAACGTCGCCGGGCTTTAAGGCGTGCAGCGCGGGCGTGATGTGCTCTAGTAGGACCACGTCCCCTGCTGCGTTCAATGTGGGAAGCATGCTGGGACCCATGCACTGGGGTGGAGGGGAGAAGGGGAGAGATGGTGGTTACATGAGTAAAGAGGAGGAGAGGGAAGGAGGCTTTAAGCCTTGCAGGGCGGGTGTGATGTGCTCCAGTAGAACCACGTCGCCTGCTGCGTTGAGCGTGGGGAGCATGCTGGGACCCATGCACTGGAAAAGGGGAGATGATGATGAAAGGAAAGAAGATGAGGCTTTAAGGCGTGCAGGGCGGGCGTGATGTGCTCTAGTAAGACCACGTCTCCTGCTGCGTTGAGCGTGGGGAGCATGCTGGGACCCATGCACTGGAACAGAAAGGGGATCGAAGCGGAAGGGGGGGAGGGTGGGTGGGGTGGGCGAGGAGGGGGGGTGTTATATGGGTAAACAAGGGCGGGTGTGATGTGCTGTAGTAAAACCACGTCCCCTGCTTCGTTTAATGTGGGGGGCATGCAGGGACCCATGCACTGGGGGGGAAAGGGGTTCTGGAAGGAGGAGTTGAATATGGGTGAAGAAGAGGAGACAAAAGGAGGCTTCAATGAACCAGGGTGACATCATTACTTACCCGAGAGACGTCATCATGTACCATGATGACGACCATGACGTAGTTACAGTACACATGGTAGCGGCATGCAATATGGGACTATGGTATACCATGGTGACATCATCACGAGCCATAGTGACGTCATCACGTACCATGGTAACATCCATGACGTAGTTCGTGAACACATGGTAGCAGCACGCGAATTGGGTCATCATAGAACATACTGAGATTATCAGAAACAGAGTGACATCATAACGTATCACAGTGACGTCATCACGTACCATGGTGACATCCATGACGTAGTTCGTGAACACATGGTAGCAGCACGCGAATTGGGTCATCAAAGCCGCTCTGTCCCACGCCTCTCTCAGTAGCGCGCGCCACGTCATCAGACCAATGTGGATTCTGGTGGATAAGAACTGCCGACGTGGACGCTGACGTGGACTACCGTGCCGCGATCATGGATGTAGACGACTGCTACGCCATCGGCGCCTGACAAGCTATTTTTTTCACTTACTCCCTTTTGAATAATCAAATAAGGAGACTTGTGAGATAACGCAAGCTTATTAGCCGTTAACGTACCGGGTGGGTTGGTTTCGCCAATCGTTTTGAAATTTCTCAAAAAACGACCTACGCGAACCTCTGAGTAATCGGAACGTGAGAACTTAGCGAAACGAGGCGATTTGGCGGAGAGGAAGTGGCGATGGAATTGAGAAGCGTTGGCGAAATTAAACGAGTTGGCGGAATGAGAAGAAGCGGTATGGATTGAGGGATTTCGGATGAGTCATGTGGAAAGGATTGTGCCGTTCAAGAACGCATAGGATCCGCCTCGACCGCGTCTGCGCTTCGCAAAGCCCGGAGCTATGGCGCCTTGCGAAGTGTCCTGCGGCAAAATACGCGGCGGAGTTCACGGAAACAGCAATGTGTGAACTAAAAATGAAGTTCAGGTGTCTCATACTTTCCAGCTTTTGAGGTGGTTTGAGTGAAATTGGAGGTTGAGCAGATTAGTTGGGGACGTGTTCTACATTTCCCGAAAAATAGTTCTGTCTGCGAGAAGGACTGCCTGGCTCACGCGAACTTTCGGCCTACAGTACCTGGAATCGAGTGGTCAACAAACAGAAACCAAAAAGACCAGTCTCAAACAGAAATATCCGTTTACCAGCCACTATTTTACAAAACTGCTCTCCACCACATCTGAACCATTTATGAATTGAGGTGCAGTACCGACGGGATGATATACCTCAGCCGACGAAAGACGCCGCCCAATTTCGCGGTTGAAATGGGACAAAGGCCCCCCTCGGGATTGACAAGCTCCTGACGACCTGCGAGTGGCAAACTGGGGCGAGCTGGCAGTCCTCCGGGGCCCTGAACCCCTCGGGATTGTCGACAATCTGACGACCTCGGGTTTCGCTGAGAGAAACCCGAGAAGGATATCTCAGCGGACCCTGAACCACAGCTCGACACGTCGTGCGCCGAACCGCGATTACGGACACGTGGCCTAATAGGGACGGCCGAGATCGAGCCTAACAATCGGGAGGTGCCACGACGGCGCCGACGTGGCCCCGCTTCGCACCACCGGGTATATTTCGCTGCGCGCGAAACTTGGCGCGCCGATGAAAAATGTCACCATCGTCCACGCGGCGAAAGACGACTGGCTAGGGCATGTACATGTGTCCACCACCTAGATAGCCAGAGAACGCGGGATATTGAGATGTCGGTGTCGCCCGAAGATCCAACCGCAGCAGCACGACCCACGCGGAGTAATCTGAGCGGACCAAACCATGCATAGGCAAAGAGAGCCCCAGACTCAGGGAATGTCGGCGTCGACCAACCCTCCTGCCACGCGCCTACTCGCAGGTCGATGAGGTTTGCGCGGGAGAGCAGGACGCTACGGCATTTCGGGAGAGTGGAACTAGGTGATTAGCCTATTGCACGTGGCGCACGTGAATTCCACCGTGGCAAGGCACCGGTGGGAGTGCCGTTGAGCGCAGAGCGGCGTGACACTAGACATGCATCGATCGTGACACGTCATGCACGTGCACAGCGGCGCTTGCAAAGAGGGCTGCGTGGAGCGCGGCAGGTGCGCAGTGGCTCGCAACCATACCCCTCCTTGACCTAGCACAACGCTCTCATTCTGCCGGTTCAGCTTCGTGTTTCTCTCATGCTCCTGTGCGCCATCTGGCACTTCGTTTTCTTCACAGGACCCTCGCTATCTCTGCGGGTGTAGGTTACTCGACGGCCGAGTCGACCGAGCGGCGGCACACAGGCGTCGACCTGGAATAGACTGCCATAGGTCGGTGTTGGGGTCGACCATCGTCGACTTCGCCTTACTAGGTTCTAGGTCGTCATCTAGGAAAGTCGGCGACGATAGATCAGGGCGATGATAGCATCTCCCAACCTTACCGAGTCGGCGACGCATGGCCAGAGGAAGGCTTAGTGCCCAACAGCCGCAACTTATCCCACCCCCCGCCGATTCGGTAGACGCCGACATCAAAGCGCAACTGGAACGACTCGAGGTCGACGCTGAGTTAGAAGCACTTGAGAGGGAATTCGAGGAAGACCGCCGCAGGACGATTAGGGCGTACACCGCACCCGTGAATCAGTACCGTCTCTGGTTTACCAATCTTTCCCTCTTCCACGGCCGGCGGTAGAGCATACGAGCGGTCATGGACGACGTCGACATGCCCGACGTTGGTACCCCAACCGACCACAGTCCGTCCTCTACCCCCGTAGAGACGCTGAAGTTGCTTTACGATCTTGACAAACTGACTCAGATTCCCGAAGGGGAGTACACCAAGGACATACCGAATCCGCCAATAGGGGAGTTTACGAAGAAGTCGACGCCGACGTCAGATGGGCAGCCTGGACCTTCGTCGGTGCCGGCCGGCTCGGAAAACCAAGGTGATGACGAGGACGAGGACGAGGAAGAGAGCGACGACGAAGTCGACGACCGTCCTCCGCGTAGCACGAATCCGTGCACCTTGGAAGAACGCCTTAGGCGGGAATTTGAATACATACATGACATGCTCGAACAGGACGAGAAGGAGGACAATCAGCACATGGCGGTGCCGCGCGAAGAGTGGAAGGCGACAGACTTTGTAGTGGACGACATGGTGTACTCCAGCATCGACGTGCTCGTCATGGACGCCCTACGCCACCTACAATGCTTGGAGAAGGATAGCACGCTCAGGCTGTACACCGCGTTCATCTACCACTACAAGAAGTGGGCGGCGAAGATGCTGAAGCAGATACGCGACAAGCTACCCCATGAGCAACGACTTAGGCACGTCGACGAGATCGGCCACTACATCCGCGACAACAAGAAAAAGGATTGGTGCAACGAGAAAGTGGTCCGCCGACAGTACATCTGGCTGCACGGCCCTAGGGTCACCGAAACCCGGCTGCGCGCCTACGTGAAGCAAATGAGCCGTGAGTGTAACCTCATTGTTGACCAGCCCGGGGAGGAGAACAATGCCACGCGAACCGGGCCTGTGAGGTCGACAACTGTGCACACGATCCTCGGGCGCATAAAGGCATGCCAGATGGCGGCGAGGGTGGAGGCGACGCTGTACCGAGAGAAGGAGCTGGGCATCATGAGGGAGATCTCGGTGGTCAGATCGGAGGTGCGGTTCAACGTCCGCCACAAGAACGAGAGGGACATCAAGTAAGTTGGTCGACAACCTTATTCTATATCACTGTGCACTGTGAAGTCGACGCAGTCTAACAGATTTTCCCCGCCGATTTGCGTTCAGGAACTGCGCCGACCGTCGACGCGGCACCATCGGCGATACCTACACCGCCGAGCAGTTCCGCCAGATCATGATGAGGGTGCTGCCGACATGGGCGGCGGCGGCGTGGAACCCGCGGGCAACCACTCCGTCGCAGACGCTGTGGCGATTCCTGCTCGTCAAGGTGCTCACGCTACTCTCCCACCACTCTCTCCTGCGCGGCGCCAGCATCCGCGAGATCACGCTCCCCGACGTCTTCTTGTACCACCTGGCGAGCACCTCGGAGGTGAACCCGGATAGCCAGCCGGTCGTCATGGTGATCGCCGCGCGTAACTCGAAGTCTTCCAAGGATGCCCGTCTTCAGCAGAGCTACGCCGCGCGACACCTGGAAGCGGAGTTGTGCGCCGTCGGCGAGACCGGCCTGTGGCTCCACTTCATCCTCGACCAGATCGGTCAGTTCTCCGGCACCGACTTCCTTCCGCCGCTTGACACCACTGAACGCGAACGCTGGTACAAGAAGCATCTCTTCTTCGCCAAAAACGACAAGGAGCAGGAGGAGCTCCCCGTTGCCACCCACCAACGTTGGACTCGGCAGATGTGGACGACCAACAAGGTGTTCTGCAAAAGGAACGTGCACGCCGCCCGCGCCGGAGGTGCGCAGGAGCTAGCCATCGGAGGGACGCCGCGCGCCGAGATCGCCGAGCTGGGACACTGGGCTCTCGACAAGATGACGCGTGCGTACATCACGGCCATTCCCGTTGGGGTGGTGATGCGGAAGGCCGGCTACTCGGGACTCAAGCAAGACTACTTCTTGGGGCGCAGCAGGGTCGAGCCCTCCGACAAACTCCTGGACCTCCTCGCCGAGCACATCTTCCCCGGCGTGGATGCTATGCTGCGTGATGTATGTCACGCGACGCCGACAATGTTCTTTAGTCGTCGTGGCCTAGTTGGCTGCCCAACTCCCTACTAACCCACGCCAATTTCCGACTTGCAGGCGGAGACGCGTGCCGTCAACGGGAGCGACGCCGACAAAGCCGCAGTGCACTTCTTGCGCACCCTCGTGATGTTCCGACGCATCGTCGCCGAGGACCTCGCGGTGAAGCTCGTCCGCACACCGTGGCACCCGTACGTCCAAGGTTCCAAGCTCTGCAGGATTGCCGTCTTCCAGCACTGGGCGAAAAGGGTCGAGTCGGTCGACACCGATACGATCAAAAAGCGCCGGGACCCGACTCAGATTCAGCCGGAGGTGAGTTGCCGACCATGTCGGCGTCGTTCGAATACCGGTGAATTCTAACCTCTTGTCGCCTTTCCGCACACTCAACATTGCAGGAAATATCCGTCCGCATGGACACCCAGTATCACAACATGTCCCTCAAGGAGGCGCTGAAGAAGGAGGTCGAGCGCTCGGCGCTCGAGAAGATCGAGACGATCGAGATGCAAAACGACACCATCGCGTCGCTCACCGCCGAGCTTGCTCGAGTCACCGAGGCACTCCGTGTGTCAGAAGCCCGGAGGATGCCGGCGGCGCCGCCGTCGGCGACCGAGCAAGCTCCGAGCGAGGGTGGCTCCGCGGATTCGGCCAACACGGGGACCGGAGCCAAGAGAGATGATGGGAAACCCCCGCCACCCCCCCAGACGGCAGAGGAGGCCAGTTACGAGCTCAACGTGGTGCAACCTTGGCGGGAGGCAAAGACCGTGCGGGACGCTTGGCTCCTCTGGAACTCCGCCACCGCCAATGACACCCGTCGTCTTTGCGACAGGGTCGCCGAGCCGGGGTTCATCGACCGCCACACCCTCCTCAAAGGCGTGACGCAGGGTGCACTCAACATGAGGGTGCGCCGCATGCTGAAGGCCATGGATGCGGTGCGCCAGCTACGCGCGAGCGACGGCGATGCCGACACCGAAGCCGTGGTCGATGCACTGAACACGATCGCGGCACCGGGCATTGGGACCTTCTGCGATGCCCTCACGGTGCTCAACCCGGAGACGGCACCGACGATGTCCAAGGAGCCTGGCATGGGCGTCAAGGGGCTTGCCCCCAAGGTGGTCTCGAAGCTACGCCTCGCCTGTGCGCTGGTGGCGCTCGAGCTGAAGCCGAGGACGTGGGTCGACCGCCTGTTTCCACCTGGGAGGTGCAGATGCCGAAGACCGTGGCCGACTTGGCCAAGCAGACCGCACCTGCGCAGCGTCCTCCGACAAAGCGCAAGAAGTCGGCATGAAGATCCTCGGTGCATATGTGTTAGCGTAGGTTGCTGATGCCCTAATTGAGCAAACCGTAGTGATCCCATCGTACATGTTTGATGGTGATACAACACGAACATACATGATCCAACACATACATCCGAACCAGATATGTCGGACTCCGACATAGTCGCCACCATGTGTGTGCAATTCATTGTGTCTTATTCATGTCGACATCGCTGACTGCACTTACAAAAAGTTACATGCATGCAAACGGCGCAAACGGCGCCGATCACGCTATAACCGAGCAATCATACCACCTAGCGCTCCCTCCGCGCGCCGACTACGCATCCGTGCTGTCCATGCCCGCTGGATATGCGCGTCAAACGGCACATCGATGCCGACCTCCTCGAGTTTCGGCCACCTGGGCGGCGGGGCACATTCCCCAAAGCGCCGACCTTTAACCATCTCGGTCTAGCCGACGAGGCTCATCGCCGAGTATATACATGCACACAGCCAGACGCACTATGTCAACACCGTACGACGCCGAGTTGTTATACGCCGACGGGGTTCATCGCAGTGTCGCATTTGAGTAACATGGTAGTGATCAGGTCGACCTTGCCGAGGAGTGTTCTAGTAACATGCACTACCAAAAAGTTACAGCCAACAAGAGAAATACGCAACCACAAACGAAAAGAAATCCCAACGAAAACTACACAATCGGCGCCGCCCATACCAGGCCATCCTAGCAACAAGACCTACTTGCGCTCCCTCCTGCCGCCCATGGCAGATTGTTATGCCGACTACGCCGCCGTGCTGTCCTTGCCCGCTCTGCCCTTCTTCCCCTTCTTCCCCGAGCTGTCCTTGCCCTGCTTGCCCCTCTGCCTCTTCCTCCCCCTGTGTTCGATATCGTACTCCATCTGCGCGTCAAGCGGCACCGCGATGCCGATCTTCTTGAGTTTCGGCCCATCCACGGGGCACATTCCCCAGAACGCGAGGGTTTCCACCGTCGCTCGTGCGATCACTTTGGCCTCGGCTTCAACATCCAACCCCGGATAGGCTTTAGCCAGAGCGGTGGACTCCAGCGCCGGTGCGACGTTGTGCGCAACCTCCCCGAGGGGTTGCTGCCTGCTGATCGCGGCCTCCAGCACCGCCGTCATGACCTTCTTGAACTCGGCGGCGGTAGTCTCGCTCGCGCCGACCACCATCGCCGCCGCCTTCCCTTCGCGCACGGCATCAGCCACCTGGGCGCCGTCGCCCTCGACTAAGCACCACAGGGCGCAAGCGGAGGCCGATAGCGCCTGTGCGACCTTCGCCGTCGTCTGATCCGTGTCGCCCTCCTTTCTCGCCGCGGATGCAGCGACCTTCCCATACGCAGCGCACAAGGACACGCGATCAATCATGGCCGACATCATTGCATCCGACTTCTGCTTCCCTTCCTTCGTGTCGGCATCGACGGGGAACCAGATCGCGGGCAAAAGCGCGTCGTGGTGCGCATCGCCTGATGTCTTGTACGCTCGATACTTCCCGAGGATATCATCGAACCTGTCACGCAATCACACGAAACTGGACGACCATTAGGAACGCCGACGTCGACATCATCGCTTGGCCGACGTTTATCCGACTTACCGTGTCTTTGGGAGGAACGCGCCCCGTGCCCATATCACCGTCCACATCCCAGTCGGCAAGAACCGGACCTCCTCCCACACCGCCCTCCACTGCTTCATCACTGTTTCCTCCAAGCCGGTGAGCTCGGCCATGAGGATCTTGCTGACGTAACCGTCGTAGAGGAGGTACACAATCGAGTGAAGGTAAGCCAGCTCCATCTTCTCGCGGGACTTGCCGATGTATCTACTCTCGTTCCCGACCACCTTAATCTCGCCCACCCACCCTTGCTTGTCGCCCGTGGTGTCGTGGCGGATGCCATGACCCTTCCGTTCTTTCACCTTAACCTTCTCCTCCTCCGTCGCCGCCTCCTCCACCTCCACCTCCGCCTCCTCCACCCGCTCCTCCTCCTTCTCCTCCTCCTTCTCCTTCTCCTTGTCCTCCTCCTCCTTCTCATTCTCCTTCTTGTCCTCCTCCTTCTCCTTCTCCTTCTTCTCCTCCTCCTCCTCCTCCTCCTCCTCCTTCTCCTTCTCCTTCTCCTCCTTCTCCTTCTCCTTCTCCTTCCCTTTCTCCGCCGCCTTCTCCTTCACCATCGCCGTCGCCATCCCCTGTCCTTTCTCCACCGACTTCACCATCGCCGACGTCGCCCGTGTTTTCTTCTGCGAGCTCGGCCTCGCTTTCCCTGCGTCGACCGTCCCCTTCTGTTTCGACTTTCCCGCGCCGACCGCAGCAGTGGTCGTCTTTGGCTCCGCTGTACATGCGGTGGGACTCGCCGAGTGCTCTACATGCGCCGAGTCCGAGATGGCCAGAACAGGGGGCTGCTTGGGGCGGTTTACCGCTTCCAATAGGTACTGGATGGCAGCGATATCGGCGTCGTTGTGGTCCTTCGCCGCCTGTGCAGGGTCAACTGATCCGCCGCCCGTGGCTAGCGCTGCACTCACGCCCTTCTCCGCCACCGCCTCGACAGTAGCCGCACCGAGTGTGGGTGCAGCTACGGTTACCGACGTCGGCGTCGGGCTTGAGCTGGATACCGGCTGAGCCCGTGCTGGCGCTGCCGCAGTACGTGCGCCTAACCGGGCGCGAAGCAACGCGGACTTTGGGTCCACAGGAGGACGGGCGGCGATGATAGGCGCGGTAGGTGGGGCACTGGACGTTGTGGCGGCGACCTGCGGAGTGACCGAGCGACGTGCTGTTGTGGCCGGCGCGGTACCGACCACGGGAGGCTGATGCACGTCCTGTCGATGGGTCTCCATGCGGCGGAGCATTTCCCTGAGCGCGTTCGCCTTTGGGGCGGACGGACCAGCGCGGTTAGCCGCAGCATCCACCGCGTCAACCTTGGCGGCAGACGTGCCTGCTGGTGCTGGAGTAGCCGCAAGGGACGGCCCATCGTTGTTGGCGGCTGACGGGGCGACCGGCGCGCTGCTAGCCGCAGGGGGTTTGCGGGGAATCGACGTGGTCCCCGCCACTCCGCCAGACGGTCCCTTGACGGTTTTGGCGCCGCCATCTATCGCCGTTGGTGCGGTCGCTAGACTGGCCGGCTTCTCGGCGACCAATGGCGGGGCTGTTGGTCCAGCCTCTTGAGCGACAACCTGGTTGGCAGGGCCCCCCTCCGCACTCCTGATTCCATCGCCCTTGCTGTGCGTCCTTATCACCTTGGCCCCGTTCTTCTTGAGCTGGTCGACCACGCTCGTACCTCCGCTCCCATCGGCTCCCTTGCTCCGCGAGCCGCCTGGACCCACCTGGCCGACGCCGCGGTTCCCATCGGCTCCCTTGCTCCGCTTCGAGCTCAACGCATCATCTCCGCCGCCCGCCCTTTTCGCACCCTTCTTGTCGGCCTCGTTGGCCGACGGCGACGACCCAAGCCGACCAGGCGCAAGATTGCCGATCACCTCGGTCATGAGGTTTAACCCGGACGCAACAAACGACTGCTGGGTGGCCTCAGTCACCGCCTTCAACACGTCCGCCTTGAAAGACTTCATGAGCTCGTCCGGGAAGGCTGGCGGTGGGGCGGGCGGCGTGGGCGGCGGCACGGCGACGCGTTGAGTTACCGCGGCGGCGATGTTGGTCTGCGCGGCGACTAGGTGCTTCGATATGTATTCCTCCAATCCCTTCCTCGCTTCGTCCACGTGGTTGCCCATGGCGACGACCGCGTTCGCACGTTGCACCGCCATAAACCCCTCCGGATTCTCTAGATTGTCCAACCAGCACTCCGCCCTCTCGGCGTACGCCTTCATCGCATCCCATGCTTCACCCATGTTGGCGGTGATGTTCTTCGTGACGGTCGTCGCCATGGTCAAGGACGCGTCCATCAGCCGACTCGCCGCGTCCTGGTCGGAGGCGGCGACCTGGTCGGCCAACGACCTGAGCTTGTCCACGAGGCGGCCAATCCCCATCGCAAACCTGTCCACCCGACCCCTCTCCACTCCGAGCGCCGTCTCGAGACGAGCATTTTCAGCCCTCAGCCACCTGTTCTCCTGTCGCAGCTGCGCGACGACAGCCGGCGTTGCCTGCCGACGACGGCCGGCGTTGGCTGCTGAGGAACCCGGTTGACGGCCCGCCTCTACCGCTCCACCCCGGCGTTCCACCCCTGCGTTCCCTGTGGTGGTCTCCACGCCCGTCGGCGTCGGGGCCGCGGCGTTATCCTCCTCCTTCGCGTCGCCAACCACATTGCCGACCACGTGCGCCTCCTCCACGCCGACATTCTCCACATCGGCACCCTCCCCTCGCACGTACACAACATCCGCCGACATCCCACCCGTTCCCTCCACGGCCGCCGCCGCTCCCTCCACGGCCACCGCCGCCGCTCCCTCAACATCCTCCATCTCGAATTCGACCCAGGGGAACTCTACCTCCTCCTCCCCCTCTTGCTGCTTCTCCCCCTCCGCCACCTGCTCCACCGACCCGAAACCCTGCTCCACGGCCTCCGCCGCCGCCGCCTCCTCCTCCTCCTCCTCCTCCTCCTCCTCCTCCTCCTCCTCCTCCTCCTCCTCCTCCTCCTCCTCCTCCTCCTCCTCCTCCTCCTCCTCCTCCTGCCCATGCCCCTGCTCACGCTCCTCACGATCCTCCTCGTTATCATCCTGATCGTCGGTGTCATCCTCCTCCTCCTCCTTTTCCTGATCCGCGGTCCTCGCCACAGCCCTTTCTGCCTCCTCATCTACCTTGTCGACGCCGTCTCCGGCCTCTCCGCTGGTGTCGGCGACACCGACTGCTTGGGATGCCGAAGGGGGCTCCGCGGCGTCGTCGTCACAGGCGTCGGCAGCAACTCCGACATGGCCTGACCGTTTGCGTGCGACGTGTTCCTTGATGAATGTGATCATCCGAATCCGCAGCTCCTTCAACCCCGAAACGAGGACCTTGTCCATGCTGGTCGCACTGCGACGGTCGTCGCCGGTCAGGCGATCCATCCTCTTCACCACCCAGCACAGCGCGCTCATTGATAGGAGGCCAGAGCCCGCGTCGCTGTCCCGGACGGTGTCGCGCACTTTCTGCAAACAACAGAGCAGAGAGCAAGGATGAGCACCGACGGCGGCAATGGCATCGCGCTAGGACGGTAAAATGATCGGTACTCACATCTCGAACGGGTTCATCGCAGTCGGCGAGCCTGTCCGCCACCTCTTCAGCAGAAGGCTTCGGCCACTCCCACTGCCGGCCATCGCGGCCGAGCTCGGCCAGCACCGCCGCCCGGAAAAACCTGAAGCAACATGGCACATATCGTCAGTAGACTTGCTTAACGCCCAGCGGCGAAATTGCATGCGTCGTCGACTACACTATCGAGGTCACTTCAGCACGCGGATCGCCTCGTCGCGGTGCCATTGCTTCACGGTTTGCGGGTCAAAGTGCCGGACCGAGGTCCTGATCGTCTCCCCCCCGGCCCGCAACAAGTCGCCGGGGTACAGGATGACCACGACGCTACAATGTGCTCCTGGAAGCGGTGCGATGCTGCACAGGCTAGGCACCACGACGTCGATCAGAACGGAGCAGCGACATAGGCATCATGGCACACCATCATGACTTAGGCTCACCTCGAATGCAGGGGGATAACAGCTACGTCGGCGTCGAACACCGTAGCAAAGCATGAGTGGTCTTCCTTGCCCATCGCCGCCCGAAGCCGGCCGAGTCCTATCGACCACAATCGCATGTTGGCCGGCGCCGCGCGAATCCATGCGTGCCTGCACGCATGCATGGGTAGTAGATGTATGTGAGGACATGCAAGGCACGACGGATGGACACGTGGGTTCTGGAACCGACAACTGACGGGGATGGCGATAGTAGAACGGTGCACCACCGTCGCTACGTTGTAAGCAATGGCGCCTACCGATGCGGGCACCGACCTACTGTAGTGATCGGAGTCCGGTGCCGACCTACGGCTGTGTGCGTCACCGAGTAGTGATCTAAACCCTAACAACGTCGACCAAAACGTGGGACAACCCTAACAACGTCGACCTGCAAGGTATCCAGCGGTCGACGCCGACATCCCAATACGGACACTCACTTGAGGCCGAATCCCAAGCAACGGGCGTTGAACTCTAGCCTATGGTCTACGAGGACGGCGTAGTCGTGTTCGTCGAGCTTGGCAGTGAGTCCACTACCCAGGTCGAGATACAGAGGGAAGTCCTGCGAAGTCGGCGTCACTTCGCCGACTTTCGGGCCGGCCGACATGGCGGGGAAGGGAAGCGGCTACAGGCTAAGGGACGTGAATGTGGGAGAAGGCGCAGAGCTGGGGAAAAGGTGGAAAGGGAAACGAGATGCCGAAAATGAGGAGCGATGCCCCCTTCCACCAAGAAAAGGGGGTCGGTGCCCCACAGGAACGGTCGAGGCATCGCCCGGCCCTCGTGGTGCCTGCCTCGGCGGGGTTTGGCGGGCTCGTGCACAAGTGGCACAAGTTCTCATTCGCCGCCGAGCCAGCAAGTCGATGTCACGTCCCGAAGCGAAAAATGTGCGCCGCGAAGCGATCGACATCAAATTCGCAATGTCCCAAATTGAATTTGCAATGTCCCAAATTCTGCATGTTGCCCGATGCGAAGTAGCGGGCGAACACGTGGCGTCACCGCAACGGGTCGCGAAGTTGTCGAGTGTCCCGAGGGGGCCGCGAATTTTCGCCTGGCCCTCGCCTGCCCGTCCGGGCAGGCCGCGATGGGTTATTGGGACCTCGCGGGCAGGTGGCACGTGTGGGCTGCCTTCGCGCGAGGGTAATTTTCCCACGCGCGAGCTGTCGCCAGTTCGCCGACCCCACCCGGTAACGTGGGCCGCTGTTCACATTCGGAGCGGGGCTGCGGGGCGGCGGTCGTGCGCTCGGCCCAGCCCTGGGCCAGGCTGGCGGGCCCGCACGCGCGTCAGTGCTCCGCCCCGTCAGCCCAGGCTTTGACGACCCCCCTCGACGACACTGGCAAATCCGTCCTGACGACCGAGTTTCGCTGGGGTGTTCGTCAAAATTAGCAGGAATGGGCCCTCACGGTGCTTGCTTACTTCAATAACAATTGATGCTCATGGTTGGTTCTGGTGTGCATTGGTTCCAAGCGGTAAATGCACTATCGCTCTTAACCGCGATTTAATACACTGAACCGCGAGTTTAGCAATGAATGTGCAACCGCGAGTTAAGCAATGAATGTGGTGTGGGTCTCACTCACCAGAGTCGTGTCTTGCTTGATTCATGGTCACGCAGCAAAGCAGAGGAGAGGTGAATCTGGGAACACGAGGTCGCACTTGTCGCTGCAGCTGCTCCTTGGGCATCTTTACGGGTTAGCCCAGCAAGACAGTTCGAAGTTCCATTCAGTTGTGGATCGTATGCAATAGATTACTGTCAAGGCTCGTCTGCTAGTAGCCCTGTTCACCGTGCAAGAAATTTGTTTTCAGAATTTTCGAGAATCTCTCGCCGTCATGTCGTCTGACGAGAGTCGTCTGCGCGAGGTTGTCACGGCGATTCTAGAAGCCGGCGACCTGGAAGAATTGACTGAGAAAAAAGTTCGTCAGTTAGCGCGCGAGAAGACGGGGATTGACACGTCAGCAGATGCGAACAAGCAACTAATCCACAAGATAGTTAAAGCCTTCGTGGAGGAGGAAGCGGAGGATACAAGAGCGAAAAAACGGAAGAAGCAGAGAAAGGGATCGGATGAGGACAGCGGGAGTGAGAAGGAGGAGGAGGAAGAGGAAGAAGAGGAGAAAGGGAAAGGGAAGTCACGGAAAGGAGGGAAGAAGTGGAAAGTGGGAGACGGCGGAGAGCTTGTGATTTGCGAGGTGAGATTGAGTGGTGAGGTGAGATTGAGACGTTTTAGATACGGTTGGCAGAGTATAGGCCATTGGAAAGGCGGGAAGAAGTGGAAAGTAGGTGACGGCGGAGAGCTTGTGACCTGTGAGGTATGATTACACGTATTAGATGTGGTTGACATGTGTGACATACGGTTGATTGACAATGAGAGAAGGCTGACAGGGTTTAGGTAAGGTTGACAGGGTTGAGATAAGGTTGACAGGGGTGAGAGAAAACTGTCAAGTTATCTTGCTCTCTCAAGGCAGTCCAGCTCTTTGGACAGAGAACTCATCGGCGGCGGAGTGGGACAGGTTCGGGTGCAGGGTTGGGGCTAGGGTCGGCGGAGGGGTTCGAGAGGTATGATATGGTACAGGTGGCTGTGGATAAGGAGGTGATGGAAGGGTTTATATGGGTTGGCTTCGTAGGGGGGGAGGAGAGGAGGGGGGATCTGCAGCGGAGGTATCGCCTGAGAGACTTTTTGAGAATTCTCAAAAAACACTCTTTGCAGCGGAGGGATTACCTGAGAGACCAGAGGATAGGTTGAGAGGTCAGGTGGTGGTATGGTTGCTGCGACGCACGCGTCGGGCGCAAGGCTAGTGTATCCTTGTACTAGCCTTGCAGCCAACGCGTGCGTCGCAGCAACCATACCGTGAGCTCAAGGGGTGCTTGTTGGTGGCTTGAGCCGACTAAGAAGCCAACCCTTATAAACCCTTCCGTCCCTCAACCGCAGTTGCCCGGGAAGCAAAAGTTGACAGTGAGTTGAAGGGGCGCTTGCTCGTGTCTCTAGTCGATTCCGAAGCCACCCTGTGTCAACTCTCCCCCCTCCCTCCCTCCCTCCCTCACCCCCTCAGCCTGATCATATCATTGCTGCAGCTGTCTGGGAAGTGCAAGTTGACAGTGGGAGGATTCAAGAGGCGCTTGCTCGTGTCTCTAGTCGATTTCGAAGCCACCCTGTGTCAACCCTTCCCCCTCCCTCCCTCCCTCACTCCCTCACTCCCTTGGCCGTATCACATCATTGCTGCAGCTGTCTGGGAAGCGCAAGCTAGCAGTGAGTGAGTTCAAGGGACGCTTCCTGGTGTGTTGAGCCGACTCAAACTGAAAAACCATCCCATATCTTCCCTGCCTTTCCTCACCGCGCTTTGATGTATCCTTGCTGCAGCTGTCTGGGAAGCTCAAGCTAGCAGTGAGTGAGTTCAAGGGACGCTTGCTGGTGTGTTGAGCCGACTCAAACTGAAAAACCATCCCATATCTTCCCTGCCTTCCCTCACCGCCCTTTGAAGTATCCTTGCTGCAGCTGTCTGGGAAGCTCAAGCTAGCAGTGAGTGAGTTCAAGGGACGCTTGCTGGTGTGTTGAGCCGACTCAAACTGAAAAACCATCCCATATCTTCCCTGCCTTCCCTCACCGCGCTTTGATGTATCCTTGCTGCAGCTGTCTGGGAAGCTCAAGCTAGCAGTGAGTGAGTTCAAGGGACGCTTGCTGGTGTGTTGAGCCGACTCAAACTGAAAAACCATCCCATATCTTCCCTGCCTTTCCTCGCCGCCCTTTGATGTATCCTTGCTGCAGCTCTCTGGGAAGCGCAAGCTAACAGTGAGTGAGTTCAAGGGGCGCTTGCTGGTGTCGATACGCGAGTACTATGAAAAATGCGGCAAGGAGATGCCCTCCTCTAAAGGTGGGTACACCATTCCTAACCCTCTCTGACCCTCTCCAACGTTTTCTGGTCTTTTGAACAAGTGAGTAAGTTCAAGTTGCGCTTGCTGGTGCCCTCCTGCAAAGGTGGGTGCATTATCCCTCTCATCCTCTCCAACCCACTCCGACCGTCTCCGACTCTCTCCAACCCTTTCCGACTGCTTGAACAAGTGAGTGGATTGAAGGGGCGCTTGCTTGCTGGTGTCGATACGCGAGCACTATGACAAAGGCGGCAAGGAGATGCCCTCCTCTAAACGTGGGCACATGTGTGACTTTTGAGTCGATTCACAAGGTGACAGTGAGTGGGTTCAAGGGGCGCTTGCTGGTGTTGTTGATACGCGAGTACTGGATGAAAGGCAGCAAGGAGTTCTCCTCCATTAAAGGTGGGTGCACTATCACTCTGCTCTGACCCTCTTGGACCCCTAACACATGAGTACAATACAATACGCGAAGTACTATAGCAAGGAGTGGCGCTTGCTAGTGTCGATGTGCGAGTACTATGACAACGGCGGCAAGGACATGCCGTCTTCTAAACGTGAGTGCATTATCTCTCTCATCCTCTCACCCTCTCTGACCGTCTCCAATCCTTTTCAACCTTCTCCAACCCTCCCTGGCCCTCTTCGACCCTCTCTAACCCTCTCCGACCATCTCGGAACCTCTCCAACCCTCGCCGTGAACAAGTGGGTGCGTTCAAGGGACGCTTGCAGGTGTCGATACGCGAGTACCGGTCCCATAGCAAGGTCGGCAAGGACATGCCTTCCAAGCCAATAGAGGTGGGTGCATTATCCCTCTGCTCTGATACGCTTTGACCCCTCACACACATGAGCAAGTGGCGCTTGCTGGTGGTGTCGATACGCGAGTACCGGTCCCATAGCAAGGTCGGCAAGGACATGCCTTCCAAACCAATAAAGGTGGGTGCATAATATGTGTTCTACACCTCGTTTCACCGATACAATATCGCCTTCACCACCAGCACTTCCAGATGCACCACACCAGGTGTGCCTACTATACCGAGCTGACTTTTGAGTCGACTCAGGTGACTTTTGAGTCGACTCAGGTGACTTTTGAGTCGACTCAGGTGAATTTTGAGTCGACTCAGGTGACTTTTGAGTCGACTCAGGTGACTTTTGAGTCGACTCAAGGTGACTTTTGAGTCGACTCAAAAGCCACCACTTCCAGATGCACCAGAGCAGATGTGCCTACTATACCTGTTTTGAGGTGCCTAGTTTTGAGGTGCCTAGTTTTGAGGTGCCTCAAAACTAGACTTCACCACCAGCAATTCCAGATGCACCTGACCAGATGTGCCTACTATACCTGTTAAGTAGCATATGCATTTTTGGTTCAGTGCAGACTTGTTTTCCAGTTCATCACCTTACGGTACCGTTATTTTTCTCCTTGACTGGTGTTCTCTGTTCATGCAGGCATAAGTCTTCCTAATGACCAATGGGATAAGCTGGTGAGGCACATTGATACTGTACAGGAGGCTATTGAACACTTGTCATAGTACGGTATGTTACAGTAGAGTAGATTCATCAACTTTTGAATTGACTCGCAACTTCACACAGTATAGGGAGTCGTTGTACACTACTAGTGTAACACTAGCCATAGTGCATAGATATACTTTTGTGACAATCTGACCAATGGGATAACCAGTGGTGAGGCACATTGATTTGTACAGGAGGCCACTGAACACTTAGGGCGTATTCCTACGGCCTCCTATCAAGGCCACCTCCTATCAAGATTGTACCTTTTGCCTGGTGAAAGTAGCGAGAGATTTTGGGTTTAGGGAATTTTTCAGTGTGAGCTTGATAAGAGGTTAGCTTGATAGGAGGATAGGAATACGCCCTTAGAGGTGGCTTCAAGTATTGCTAGTGAATTTAATGTTTACAGGACAATATTTTACTGTCAAAACAAGTGTTGTAATTACGGTACCAATAAGTGCATAGCATCTTCAAAGACTCACCACACAAAAGGATGACAGGTTAAGAGCAAAAACTATGCTGCTGGCTCAGTTAGAATCGAAATAAGCGGATGGATGGCTATACATTATAAGCAGCCGAGACTGCCAAAACTAGGGTTAAAGGTGAGAGGCAAAGCGCTCGGGATTTCCATGCCAGTGGTGGGATCTGCTGACAAACGGAGACTAAAAAATCAGCAATTTGATGTTAACCAGGGTACATGGGGTTTTTCCCTCCTTTGATTCGCCGAGCCAGTTGGATATCTCGAATCACTGGCACCACAAAATGTGGGGTGGGGGAGGAGAGAGAGAGATGGAGGGAGGGAGGAGGAGGAGGTGGGGACGGGGGTGGCAGAATGCACAAGGGCTTATAAGCAGTGAAGAAAATGTATGATGCTACACAAGCTATCTTTCACAGTGCAGTGGGCATCAGCCAGTTGGATGTCTCGAATCACTGGCACCACAGATGTGGGGTGGGGAAGGGAGGGGAGGAGGTGGGGGGGGGAGAGGGGGGAAGGTGGATGAGATTGGGAAAGGGGGGGCAGGGTGTGCGAGGGATCACAAGCAGTGAAGAAACTATCTTTCACAGTGCAATGGGCATCGGCCAGTTGGATGTCTCGAATCACTGGCACCACAGATGTGGGGTGGGGGAGGAGAGAGGGAGGGAGGGAGGAGGACGGGAGGAGGGGGGAGGCGGGGGGGGGAGAAAGTGGGGGGCGAGAAGGGGAGGGAGGGAGGAGGGCGAGAGGAGGGAGGAGTGGGAGGAGAGGGGAGGAAGGGGTTATAAGCAGTGAAGTGTAAGCTGTTACACAAAATATCTGTATTAGTGGTCATGAACCAGTGTTATCTCTTGAATCCCACCAAAGTTGGGGCGGGGGGAGGAGGAGGGGGGGGGGGGGGCGGTGAGGAAGTTGGGGCGTGACACAAAGCACGAGGGCTTACAAGCCGTGAAGACGGTGTATGGTGTTTCACGAAAACAACCCTTGCCTGGTAGTGAGAAACGACTTTTGAGGCACCTCAAAAGAAGAGGGCTTACAAGTCGTGAAGACAGTGTATGGCGTTTCAAAAAAAAAAAAAAAACCCTTGCCTGGTAGTGAGCAACGAAAATGCTTACTTAAAGTAACTCTTTTGGAGTGAATGGCGAGCAGAATTCCGTCTTCAAACAAGCTCACCAGGTAGGCCTCTGCTGCCTGATTTGGGGGGGACGGGGGGGCAAGGGGGGGTGCATAAAGCTGTTAGAGTGTATGGCGAGCAGAATGCCGTCCTCAAACAAGCTCACCTGGTAGGCCTCTGCTGCCTGATTTGGGGGGGACGGGGGGGCAAGGGGGGGGTGCATGAAGCTGTTAGAGTGTATGGCGAGCAGAATGCCGTCCTTAAACAAGCTCACCAGGTACGCCTCTGCTGCCTGATTTGGGGGGGACGGGGGGGCAAGGGGGGGTGCATAAAGCTGTTAGAGTGTATGGCGAGCAGAATGCCGTCCTCAAACAAGCTCACGAGATAAGCCTCTGCTGCCTGATGGGGGGGAGAGGGGGGGAGGCAGGGGGCGGGGAGTGTGTGAACATGCTAGTGACTAGTTTCGAGTGTATGGCGAGCAGAATGCCGTCCTCAAACAAGCTCACCAGGTAGGCCTCCGCTGCCTGATGGGAGAGGAGCAAGGGGGGGTAAAACCGGGTGCTCGGGGGAAGGGCAGAAATGGGGGCACGTGGGATAGGAGCAAGGGGGGGGGGAGGGTAAAAACGGGTGCCTTTTGAGTCGACTCAAAAGTCACCTCGGGGTCGAAGGCGGTCAAGGTTCATCGTAGCTGCAAACCTGTAGAAATCATTTAAGCAAAAAGGATCAAGACTGTAAAAGATTGCTCCCAGAAATTCAAGTGGGGGGGTATAAACGGGTTGGGGTCGAAGGGGGATGTGCAGAAATGGTAGACGGACGGTGGAGGGGGAGTAGGGCAAGAGGGTGGGAAACGGGGACTGTACAAAACTCCGCCTTCAAACAAGCTCACAAGGTAGACCTCTGCGGCCTGATAAGGGGGAAGAGCAAGGGGGTGTGTATAGTAGAGGGTGGGTGGCTGAGGTAGTGGGAAAGAGAGGTGTGGTGGGTGGGGGGTGGGACTGCTTTTGAGTCGACTCAAAAGCGGAGGTGGGGGGCTGGGGTAGCGGGGAAGAGGGGGTGGGGGGCAGGGAATGTATCGAGGATCCTGTGTGGTGAGCGTTTGACAGATCCCTGATAGCTTTTGTTCGCCCACAACCACCGCACTCACTACCCCCGCACTCCCTGCCACCGCACCCCCTACCACCGCACTCTCTACCACCGCACTCTCTTCCACCGCACTCCCTACCACTCCACACCTCCGCACACCCTATTATCGACGAACACACCACTTGCAGCCCAAGAATGGCGTCAGCGGTCCATCGCACGTCCATCGTGGTGAGCGTCTGAGCGATCCCTAATAGCCCTTGATCACCCCACTCCATACCACCGCACTCCCTTCCACCGCACTCCACGCCATCACACTCCCTACCACCGCTTCCCACCTCTTGCAGCCCAAGAACGGCGTCAGCGGTCCATCGCACGTCCATCGTGGTGAGCGTGTGAGAGATCTCCTTGCACTGATGGCAACACGGGGAAGGAGAGGGAGAGGGAGAGAGGGAGAGAGGGAGAGAGGGAGAGGGAGAGAGGGAGAGAGGGAGAGGGAGAGAGGGAGAGAGGGAGAGGGAGAGAGGGAGAGGGAGAGAGGGGGAGGGGAAAGGGGGGAAACGGGCAGCGAGGTCAGCAGTCCATCGCACGTCCATCGAGGTGAGCGTGTGAGATATCTCCTTGCACTGATGGCAACAAGGGGAGGGAGAGAGGGAGAGGGAGAGAGGGAGAGGGAGAGGGAGAGAGGGAGAGGGGAAGGGGGGGAAACGGGCAGCGGGGTCAGCGGTCCATCGCACATCCTTTGTGGTGAGCGTCTGGGCTATCCTTGCACTGGTGACGGTGGGGAGAAGAGGGGGCACGGGGGAAAGAAGGAGAAAGGCACGCAGGAAGGGCGAAAGGTTGAGGGAGAGTGGGTGAAGGGGCAGTGGGGTTGGCAGTCCAGCTCACATCCCGAAGGGGCACTGGTGCGGGTTTGAGCAGACCCCTTGCACTAGTGAGATCAAGGAGGGGGATGGGGGGGGCCAGCGACGGAAAGGGGGTGGAAGGAAGGTTGAGGGCAATCCGATACTGACAGGCATGAAACAAATGCATTATCAGTCAATAACTGATGTAGTATTATAGATATTGGTTGAAAACAGGTCCAGTAGCACAACTCAACCAATCTTTCAACTTGATTCGCGGCCTCAAACCCCGCCTGGTCCTTTTTCACTGTCAAATACACGAGCTCAATTTTCTGGCATGTCCATTCAGAAGATATAAAAAGATAATTTAGAATGTTTATTTTTTGTTTTACTGACCACAGCTGTGTTCTAAATGAGATGACTGGCATTGCGAGGGAAAGGGGAAGGAGAGGGGTGAGGGAGGTGGGGGAGAGGGGAATGGGAAGCAGCACAGAAACAGTACCAGAAGGGAAGGACAGCTTTGGACAATCTTCCTTGCACGAGTTTAGAGATTTATTTCAAATCGACTCAAAATTTTATCTCCTGCATAGGTTTGGGAATGAATCTCAAGTCGACTCAATACTAGCCGCCTTGCACGGGTTTGGAAATACTGAAACTTACAAGTCGCATGAACGGCAGCTTGCGAATGAGAAGGTCCGTGGTTTTCTGGTACCTCCTTGCATGGGCTGGGAGATGATGATTGATGAAACTCACGAGTCGCATACACAAAACTTACAAGTCGCATGAACGGCAGCTTGCGAATGAGAAGGTCCGTGGTCTTCTGGAACCTCCTAATCTCCATTAGTGCCACAGTTCCCGGCCGGTAGCGGTGCGGCTTGCGCTTGATGCCTGGTGGAGCAAGGTAAGACGAACGCAATAGATGGAAATGGAAAGGAAGGGGAGGCGGGTGAGGGAGAGGGGGTGAGGAGGTGAGGAGGTCCGTGGTCTTTTGGTACCTCCTAATCTCCATTAGTGCCACTGTGCCCGGCCGGTAGCGGTGCGGCTTGCGCTTGATGCCTGGCGGAGAAAGGTAAGACGAACGGCGCAAACAGCCAATAGAGGGGACGGTGAGACGACTCAGAACGAAGGGGGCGCCCTCCGTGCAGGACAAGTTGTGAGGCGCATTAATAGCGAGGAAAACGCCTCGACCCTGCATCCACGATGAAACGGACGGCGTAACGAAGGGGAATCCGAGGGGGGAAGCGGCGGAAGCGGGGTGGGGAAAAGGGGGAAGGAAGGTGGAAGAGGAGAGGGGGGGGGGGGGGGGGGGGGGGGGGGGGTTGGAGGGGGGCGGGGAGGGGAAGGGCGATTGGAGGAGGGACAAGAACGAAGCATGCGGAACGGAAATTAAAGCGAGAGACTCAAGTCTGACCACTAGCGTGCTTCACGGCTGTCAACTTGAAAGAAAAAAGTGTTGTGAGGCGCCGCAAATCAGACTTGCTTTCAGTGGCGCATTTACCACTGTCGTTTTGACATGACTAGGCTAGCATCATGGCTGCTAGCCCAACCTTCAGCTATTCGAGGTGACTTTCGAGTCGCCTCAGAACATACTTAGTTTTAATGGCGCATTTGCCACTGTCGTTCTGACATGACCTTCAGGCATTTATGAATCGACTCATAAACCATCTCCTGCTAGCCCAACCTTCAGGCATTTATGAATCGACTCATAAACCATCTCCTGCTAGCCCAACCTTCAAACCTTTTTTATTCGACTTGTACACCATCTCCTCCAATTCCAACTTCTGGCTTTTCGGAAATCGTGAAAAGAAACTACGGTTTAGTAATAGGCGTTACATCGAAAAATACACCCACACGGTAATCACCTCCGGGCGGGACCTCACACTCTGTTCCGCCCGGAGCGCCTTGAATATTTCAGAACCACGGGCCGCGCTCCGTGCAGGACAACTTGTGAGGCGCGTTAATAGACTCGCTTTCAAAACAGACTCACCTTCAATGGCGCATTTGCCACTGTCTTTCTGACAGGACTAGGCTAGCATCATGGCTGCTAGCCCAACTTTCGAGCTTTTTTTATCGACTTATACATCATCTCCTGCTAGCCCAACCTTCAACAATTCGAAAAATGGGGAGAACAATTCAGGCAAACCGCGAGGCGCTTACCTTCGGGTGCTCTGGCTGTTTTTTTTGGAGTGCCTTTAGTGGCTTTCGCCGGCGTCGACGTCGCCTCTGCCGCCGCCGCCTCCGCCGCCGCCGCCGCCGCCGCCGCCGCTGCGGCGGTTGCCTTGCTCCGCTTGGGCATGCGCTGCTTCGACCTCGCCATGCTTAGAACGAATCAGAACTGTACGATGGAAAAACTGGCGTAGAAACTCTCTTGCTACGTAAGGGGCACACAACTTCCAACACAGTTTTTTCCAGACGAGCGTTGAGGGACCAACGCTTGATTGAGGATCAACCCTAAGATCTTCCTATGAAAGTTCTAGTTAACTCGGGATTACTAAACTTCCTCTGTCGGGATCAAGTCTATGAAGCACCGGCTTTTCTTTTGCTACGAAAACACCGGGCGGGTCAATTCTTCCTGTAGGTCCTCGATTGAAATTAAAAAGCAGGCTAAATAACCGAGTGGTCAGATGGGGATTGGTCCAGTATATCAAGCAGAAGTGACTAAGGAGTGACAAGGAAAAGCGACCAGGCAGTATGGAGTTGGAGAGAAAAGGGCTTCCGCAAGGAGGTGAGGACGTATGAAAATTAGCAGTCACTGTGAAGAATGAAGAAGTCGAGGTGCATGCAGGCATCCAAATTGGCAGCGGCACTGTGAAGGTCCGCGCACGAGCAGACTAATTTGCGGTTTGGAACCATCCTTTACGGTTTTTAAACGTTTCAGAAACATTCAAAGCGGTTGAGAAGGCTTTGCGCTTACCTCACGAAAGAGTGCAGGAAGAATGCAAGGTCTGTAACATTGGAAGCACGTGCAACTGCGGGCGCGAATAGCGCGTCGTTCGAGATGAAGACGCGTGGCAATGAGTTGACCAATCCGTAACTTTTGCGCACTTCGTAATAAGAAGTCAGCTACGTGCTTCGGAATGGTCTCTTGCTCCGCCAGAGACCTTATCGAAAGGCCCGTTATTACAGGAGGGTGAAAATTATGTACAGAAGAAGCTGGTACATGCGAAGTGCTTTATAATCATGACATAAATACCAATGGTACTTAGAATGATTCTTTGAGTACACGTGAGATCATAGGAATATGTTTTGGAAAGATGAATGAATTCTGCCAATGAATATCGGGGGAGTGAGTGAGACAACATACAATTACCAACTATTCTGGAGAAAGCACTCATACTGGAAACGGGGATGAAATATTTTCTATACATTCTTAGATAGTGCATCAGCTTCAGCAGCTGCAGATTCCACAGCAGCCTCTGCAGACTCAGCTGAGCTGGCCAGCCCATGGGCTTTGAGAAGCTGAGTAAAAGACTCCACTTGAGCGGCATCAATCTTATATGGAGAATAGCGCGCGGACGGGAATGTGCGAGAGGTTACATCCTCTCTAAAAGTGTTCAGCGCCTGTTGAATTGCCTCGCCCACTTGGCCGAATGCCTTGCAGAACTTCGGGGTTACCTGCTCAGAAATCAGGACACAATATAACCATCTTACGATGAAATAGTGAGGGTCATATTTAAGAACACTTTGATGCCCTGGGCAGGCATGGGTTGAGCTGGATACAAGCACAACTCATTTTGACACGCAAGCATGATGGAAACTTGAACACTCTGACGCCAGCCTTGGCGGAACAGCAGAGGATATCATCAGCACAAAGGTTTGACACTCAGAAAGATATGGGTGTCCAAACATATACCTTGGCATGGTGAGGGTGTTGAATCATCCCGAGAAGGTCATGGTATACTAGCACCTGGATGAGAGGCAGTCATGGGTGTGTGTGGGGATGGAGAAGGAGGAGGCTGAGGATTCTAGTATACAAGCAATCTGCTGGAACCAGAGAAAGCCATGGGAGAGGCAGGTGTAGGAGAGGCAGGTGTGGGAGAGGCAGGTGTGGGAGAGGCAGGTGTGGGAGAGGCAGGTGTGGGAGTGGCAGGTGTGGGAGAGGCAGGCATGGGTAAGGTAGACACGGGATTTGGTGATGATGTGGGGTGAGTATTAAGGCATTTCTTGAGAAGTATAGAAATGCGCGTACAACACAAGGGATGTCGACAGCAGCTGCGCTGGCAGCACAACATGCTCTGCTCGACATCAGGCGAGGGAAACAAACCAGTGCACTCAGCAAGATGGTACTGAGTGGAACCTAGTTTTGAGGCGCCTCAGAATCAGCAAGATGGTACTGAATGGAACCTAGTTTTGAGGCGCCTCAGAATCAGCAAGATGGTACTGAATGGAACCTAGTTTTGAGGCGCCTCAGAATCAGCAAGATGGTACTGAATGGAACCTAGTTTTGAGGCGCCTCAGAATCAGCAAGATGGTACTGAATGGAACCTAGTTTTGAGGCGCCTCAGAATCAGCAAAATGGTACTGAATGGAACCTAGTTTTGAGGCGCCTCAGAATCAGCAAGATGGTACTGAATGGAACCTAGTTTTGAGGCGCCTCAGAATCAGCAAGATGGTACTGAACGGAACCTAGTTTTGAGGCGCCTCAGAATCAGCAAGATGGTACTGAATGGAACCTAGTTTTGAGGCGCCTCAGAATCAGCAAGATGGTACTGAGCCGAATTAGCGAACAACCATACCCCAGCGGGAACATGACCAGCTGCTGTCTGATAAGACAGTCCATCGATGCCTGTGGTGGTGAATGCAACAGTAGCTGTCACTGCTGTTGCCACCATTGCTAGCATGCACTCTAAAGCAGGCAGGCCATTAATGAGCTCAGAAAGATGCAGTGTATGTTTATTGAGAATTCTAAAAAAATATACACTACCACCACTGCTGGCATGCACTCCAAAGCAGACACGCCATTAATGAGATCAGAAAGATGCCATCTCACTTCCTCACCCGTTTCCACACCCCCTCATCCCTACCCCATCCTCACCTGTCCGCTGCAAAGAGGGCCAGCACCGATGCCGATAGTGGGAATGTCGACAGCAGCTGTGACTGCTGCTGCCACCACTGCTGGCATGCACTCAAGAACCACCGCGAAGCACCCAGCTTCTTGCAGGGCCTGTGCATGTTGCACGACCTGTGAGTGGGGGGTTGGCACAGTGGTTAGATGGAATGACAAGTCAACTGTCAGCCATTACTGCTGGCATGCACTCCAGCACCACCGCGAAGCACCCAGCTTCTTGCAGGGCCTGTGCATGTTGAACGACCTGTGAGTGGGGGGTTGGCACAGTGGTTAGATGGAATGACAAGTCAACTGTCAGCCATTACTGCTGGCATGCACTCAAGAACCACCACGAAGCACCCAGCTTCTTGCAGGGCCTGTGCATGTTGCACGACCTGAGGGAGAGAGGGAGTGGGAGGAAGTTGAGGGAGGGTGGTTATGTGAGAACACTGCCTAGCACACATTATTCCGACACCACAACAAAGCACCCAGCTTCTTGCAAGGCCTGTGCGTGCTGCCCCAGTTCCCACCTCCCCCAGTTGCCACCTCCCCCATGTCCCACCTCCCCCAGGTCCGACCTTGAGAGCGAGGGGAACAGACCTGCACTAGGATGGTACTTTCCCTCAGACTGCTGCCCCAGGAACCATCCGTGCAGTTCCCACTGTCCACTAGGTCCCACCATCCTCACATCCCACCTCCCCCAGGTGCCACCTGCTCACCTTGAGGGCACTAGCAGCGGATCTGCCCTGGAGGCGAAAGCCGCCCAGCGAGCTGATAGCCTGTGGGGTGAGCCCCACGTGGCCCATCACAGCTATACCCGCCTCAGATACCGCCCGCGCTGCTGCTGCTGCTGCTGCCCAGACCCACCACCCACCCCTGCAGTGCAGTTCCCACCTCCCCCAGGTCTTACCTTGAGGGCACTGGCAGCGGATCTGCCCTGAGGATGGAAGCCTCCCAGCGAGCTGATGGCCTGTGGAGTGAGCCCCACGTGGCCCATCACAGCTATACCCGCCTCAGATACCGCCCGCGCTGCTGCTGTTGCTGCTGCTGCTGCTGCTGCTACCCAAATCACAACTCCCCCAGGTCTTACCTACCTTGAGAGCACTGGCAGCGGATCTTCCCTGGGGGCGGAAGCCTCCCAGCGAGCTGATGGCCTGTGGAGTGAGCCCCACGTGGCCCATCACAGCTATACCCGCCTCAGATACCGCCCGCGCTGCTGCTGTTGCTGCTGCTGCTGCTGGCCAAATCACACCTCCCCCAGGTCTTACCTACCTTGAGAGCACTGGCAGCGGATCTGCCCTGGGGGCGAAAGCCTCCCAGCGAGCTGATGGCCTGTGGAGTGAGCCCAACGTGTCCCATCACAGATATACCCGCCTCAGATACCGCCCGCGCTGCTGCTGTTGCTGCTGCTGATGCTGCCCAAATCACACCTCCCCCAGGTCTTACCTACCTTGAGAGCACTGGCAGCGGATCTTCCCTGGGGGCGGAAGCCTCCCAGCGAGCTGATGGCCTGTGGAGTGAGCCCCACGTGGCCCATCACAGCTATACCCGCCTCAGATACCGCCCGCGCTGCTGCTGTTGCTGCTGCTGCTGCTACCCAAATCACACCTCCCCCAGGTCTTACCTACCTTGAGAGCACTCGCAGCGGATCTTCCCTGGGGGCGGAAGCCTCCCAGCGAGCTGATGGCCTGTGGAGTGAGCCCCACGTGGCCCATCATGTCACAAGTTAGGATTAGAACTGATGCGTTAGTAATGAGCTTGAAGCTCTTTAAGTACATCCAAGAAGGGTAGGGAATGGATGGGGAAGGGAATCGGGGGCAATCCCTAGGGATTGGGGGTAATCCCAAGGCAATCTCCAATTGGTGGGTTGGAGATTGCTTGGAGATTACATTTGGGTTTGGTTGGGATGTAGGTGTACACCCAACCAAACACAAAGTGCAAACTACACTACTCTAGGATATAGAAAATATAAAGTACAAAGTGTGAGATTGAGGGCTAACACTAACACCTCCCCATAGGCGGCAATCGAACTCAGGGCAGAGAAGGTGGAGCACAGAGCCCCATGGCGCCAAGGAGACGATGGTGAGGAACTTTCCCAAGGGGCTTGGTGAACAGATCAGCCAGGTTGCAGTCAGATGCAACGTACTACACGTTCAGCTGCTCCCGCTGGACAAGGTCACGGATGAAGAAATGCCGAAGTTCGATGTGCTTGGTGCGAGTGTGATACACAGGGTCTTGGGAGAGGTGGATAGTACTCTGGTTGTCACACCAGAGGGTGGAGGTGGACTGAGGGTAGCCAAGCTCCTGGAGTAGGAAGGTGAGCCAACAGGCCTCTTGAGCAGCCATGGTGCCAGCGTAGAGCTCGGCCTCACAGGAGGAGAGGGAGACTGCTCACGACCTGGTGGAGCGCCAACTGACAATTCCGCTCTCAACGGTGAAGCAGTACCCCTGAGAGGAGCGTCGGTCGGTCTGGTCCTCGGCCCAAGAGGAGTCAGTGTAACCTTCCAGTCGAGGAGGGGAGAGCCCACCGAGTGTGAGAACGTGAGACTTGGTGCCCTGGAGATAACGCAGTACCCGCTTCGCCGCCTTCCAGTGAAGGTCAGTGAAGCGCCCAGGGGCCATGTAGCGAGAGAGGACACTGACAGGATATGCCAGGTCCGGTCGGATGCACATCATGGCGTACATGAGGGACCCAACAAGCTCCGGGTATGGCTCAGAGCAGGCCTCTGGTGTGGGTACAGCTGGGGCTGTGAGGAGGTGTTGCAGCGGCAGCGGGGTGGCAACAGGTGTGCACAGCTCCATCTCAAACCGCTTGAGCACATTGTTGATGTAGAACTCCTGGGAGAGTGAAATGGTGCGAGCCTTGCGATCACGTGTGATCTCCATCCCCAGGTAGTGCTTGAGGTCACCGAGGTCTTTCATCAGGAGGGCCTTGCTCAGGGCCGCCTGGACAGAGGTCATCTGGGCCGAGTCCTTGGCAACGAGGATGAAGTCATCGACGTAGACAAGGATGTAGAATGGCTCAGAATGACGGCGAATGAAGAGAGTCGGGTCCGCAGATGATGGGTGGAAGTCCAGGGAGAGAAGGACTTCTTTAACCTTGTTGTGCCATTCGCGAGGGGCTTGCTTAAGGCCGTAGACGGGGCGATTCAGCTTCCAGACAGTGTTGGGAGGGAATTCTATTGGGAAGCCTTCAAGTCTGTCCATGAACACTGTCTCCTTGAGGCGTCCTTGTAGGAAAGCTGATGAGGCGTCCATGGATTTGATCTCAAAGTCTTCTCGTGCTCCGACATCCATAAGCGTGCGAATAGTGGGAGGTTTGGATGTGGGGGAGAAGGTCTTGAAGAAGTCGTGGTACTGCTGCTGGGTGAAACCCTTGGCTACGTAACGCGTTTTGAACACCGGGTCTAGGAGCTGTTTCACACGAAACAACCACTTGGCCCCGACGATGTTGACTCCTAGAGGTGGAGTCTCGTCGTCGAAGGAGTGGTTGCGGGTGAATGCTTCAATCTCAGCTTCCATGGCAGCACGCCATTCGGCTGCATGGGGACCCGGGAGAGCCTCTTGGACGGTGAGAGGGATAGGGATGGTCAGGTTCTCCGTGAAGTTGAGTGAGGGTGATTCAGTAATGTCGGGGAAGATGTGCGAGAGCTGAGGAATGACAGTGTGAAGATCACACAGCTCCTCATGCTTGTCTTCCAGAAGGGTAGGGGGCACATCCCCCCCAGCAGGAGGAGGCGGAGTGATCGCAGTGCATCGAAGAATCAGTGCCAATGGAAGAGCAGCGCGATGCGAGCGAGTGCCATGAGCCACCGGAGAAGACGGTGGGGCAGGCGGTGTCGGAGGGGTTGATTTAGGAGGCTTGGGTGGTGGAATGGGCCGTCGCTGGTACGTGATCAGCTCGAGCGACTGTGGGAGAGCGGTTTCCTCTGTGGTAGGGGGAACTGGGGGAGGATGTGGGGCCGGAGGGTGTGACCGCCGATGGTAAGTGATAGGTGCGCTCGGAGGTGGCAGCACAGTCGGCGGAGTGGGAGGTGAGGGGGATGGAGGAGCAGCTGCCGAAGACACCGGCGAGGTCGGGTCAGAGATCTCTGAGGGGGAAGGTGCGATGGCAGGAGAGGGAGGAGGTGAGGGGGTTGGCGCAGGTGGGAGGTCAGGGTGCGCATCAAAGTCCGCCCACACGAGAGAGGGTGGATCGGAAGGAGGATCCGGTCCCGAGGTGGAGTAGAATGGGCGGAGTTAATCAAAGACAACGTCGCGGCTCCGGACTAACTATTGAGTGGAGGAATTGAGGAAGAGATAGTCAGAGGAGTCAGCGTTGTGCCCAAGGTAGATGCACGTTTGAGTCTTGGGACCGAGTTTGCCACCGCGCTGTCGCCTGGACTGAGGGTTGAGGAGGACATAGGCGGTGCACCCCCAAACGCGAAGAGAGCGAGCAGTGGGTGTTTTCCCAAGCCAAAGTGTGGTTGGAGTGGTGTCGGGAAGATGCGGGTGGGGGTAAAGATTATAGAGGAGGGCGGCATGGTAGAGGGCGTACCCCCAGAGAGAGAGTGGAGCGTTGGAAGGGCTGAGGAGGCACCGAGTGATCTGCACCAGGGTGTGGTTGCGGCTCTCTGCTATGCCGTTCTGCTGTGGGCTGTCAGGAAGGGTGAAGTTTTGCTGGATGCCTTCTGAGGAGCAGAAGGCTTTGAGATTGTCGTTGCAGAATTCACCCCCCCCATCCGAGTGAAGGCGCTTGACCTTGCGGTCAAAGGTGGTCTGTGCCTGCTTGACCCACGCCATGATGACCTCTGGGGCCTCAGCCTTGGTGTGGAGGAGCTGAACAGAGACATAGAGGGAGTGGTCATCCACTATAGCAAGGAAGCAGCGATGGCCCCTCGTGCGGGAACGGGGGCAGGGCCCCAGACGTCCATGTGCACGAGGTCCAGAGGTGCTGCTGCGATTGTGGGTGCCGCAGGATGGGGCTGTTGGCGCAGTTTGCTCTTTGTGCAATCAAGGCACGTGGGTGCGGGTGAGTCAGGTGGTGGAGGAAGTGCGGCTAGCAGGCCGAGAAGAAGTTTCTTGGAGGCCATGTCAGCAAGCGTGCGGAAGTTTAGGTGCCCGAGCCGATGGTGGTAAAGAATGGTCGGGTTGGAGAGGCTGCGACATGGGCATGGTGTGATAGGAGCCTGTGCTTGGGTGGTTGACACCTGTGGGAGAGGTACGCGTAGCGTGTAAAGGCCGCTGCTATTGAGGGTGAAGCGGGCTAGGATTTTGTTGGTGAGAGGATCGATGATGTCGCAATGATCCTCGTTCTCCGAGAAGACTGTGCGTAGTCCTGCATCCTGAATTTCCGTTTGAGCCACTAGATTGTGGCGTAGTGAAGCCACATACCAGTGACTGTGCCAGATGGGAAAGCGGGGCACGGGACTGTGGATGTACCCTTAGCAAGAATGGTGAAGCTTGAGTCAGCTCCCAAGAGAGGAATGGGTGTTGCGTAAGGTTTGAAGGAGAGTGTCTCCTTGAACACAGTGTGGGTGGCCCCGCTGTCGAGTGTGAACTCTATGTATTGTGGTGCTTGTGGTGAGCCGATGTACTGGGAGGTAGCTTCATTGATCATGGCAGTGCCAGGAAACAACAGGTTGATACGCACATCAGCAGGAGCACTATCACTAGCACTAGCCGAAGCGGGGTCCTGGACCTCAACTAGATTGGCCTTACGAGGGCGCATCCAGTTTGGCGGCTTCTTGTCCACTCCGTGAATGGCATACCATTCGTCGTCCTTCTTCTTGAAGCACGTCGCAAGGGGGTGGTTAGTGCCACCACACACTTGTCCCTTGCGGTTGCCGTACTTGACGACGTAGGTGCACGGAGGGAAGCGGTTGCGCTGGAAGGGCGCCGAGGCGAGGGCCGATGCGACACTTGCTTGCGGCATGGGAGCGCGGATGGCGTAAGCCTTGGCCTGAGCCGTGGAGTCTTTCTCGGCAGAGAGGAGTGCGGTGGAGACCTTAGCAACGGTGAGGTCTTCCGCTGAGAGCGTGAGGAGCATCTTCCTCGTTACTTCATATGCCGAGGTGAGACCAACTAGAAGGGCGGCTGCAGAGGCTTGTTCGGGGAAGACTATACCCAACTCCTTAAGTTCGCCATGAATAGTTTGCACCTTGGCGATGTAGTCAGCCATTCCCGAGCAATCCTCAAGGCGGACCTGGAACATGCTGGGGATGAGGATGGCAACTCCGACCGCCGTTTTGTTCATGAATTGATCCTGGAGGTACTTCCAGATGTCGTTGGAGGTAGGGTAGTTGTGGAACGTGTTGACGAGTTCGGGAGGGGTGGAGGCAATGAAGACGCTGATGATAGCAGCATCAGCCTTCTCCCATTTCCGGTACTTTTCAACGGCTTCCTCGTACGGCCTCATGTCAGTATCACTAGCGGATTCGGTCGGCTCACGGGGGATTGGGGGCTGTTTTCCCTTGCCACGGTTGAGGAGGACGTCCTTGAGATCCAATTCCTGCACGTCACGACTCAAGAGGTGCTTGTCAACCCCATAGCTCCATGCCTTGAAGTTGGAGCTAGAGCCATCGGCTTCAAGGCGGAGTGGGGTGATGGGGTTGGCCAAGATGGACGAGGCAAATGCCATCATGAAGAACCCTTAGTGTCTCGCGCGGAGCGCCGCTCTTAAGTCACCGATAGGAACTTGAGGTTTAGGGTTTCCGAAGGAGATTTTGAAGAACCGGAGGTTAAGGGTTTACGAAAGAGAATTTTGGGGTTTAGGGTTTCTGAAGGAGAATTTGACGGAAACGCCAATTTAGTGTCAACTACCTGCTAATCCTATTCCCACACACCCCCCCACACACCACCCTCAGCTTCGCGGCTACGCTGCTGTTCGGCTTCGCGGCTACACGGCTGCTCGGCTTCGCGGCTATGCTGCTGCTCGGCGGCGCTGCTGCACCTGTTCAGCTGCGGGAAGGGGGGATGGGGGTAGGAGTGCAGATGCGGAGCGACGGGCGGCAGCCCGAAGGTGACGCTGCAGGGCGACGGGCGGCGGCCCGACGAGGAGAAGAAATTACGCGATGACGTTCGACGAAAGCGAGCGATAGGTTATAGCGCCGACGATGCGCTTACCAGAGAAATCGAAGATGTCGTCGAAAGTGACGGGAAGGTGGTGCGGGAGAGTTTCCGCCCACGAATGTCACGAATCACCGGCGACGAGATTGAAGGTGGTTACGCCGAGGTTTGCGGGACGAGCATCCGCAGAGATAAGAGGATCACGATCCGTGTGTGCGGTTGAAGTGCTCTGATACCATGTCACAATTTAGGCTTAGAACTGATGCATTAGTAATGAGCTTGAAGCTCTTTAAGTACATCCAAGAAGGGTAGGGAATGGATGGGGAAGGGAATCGGGGGCAATCCCTAGGGATTGGGTGTAATCCCAAGGCAATCTCCAATTGGTGGGTTGGAGATTGCTTGGAGATTACATTTGGGTTTGGTTGGGATGTAGGTGTACATCCAACCAAACACAAAGTGCAAGCTACACCACTCTAGGATATAGAAAATATATAGTACAAAGTGCGAGATTGAGGGCTAACACTAACACATCACAGCTATACCCGCCTCAGATACCGCCGCGCTGCTGCTGTTGCTGCTGCTGCTGCTGCTGCCCAAATCACACCTCCCCCAGGTCTTACCTACCTTGAGAGCACTGGCAACGGATCTTCCTTAGGGGCGGAAGCCTCCCAACGAGCTGATGGCCTGTGGAGTGAGCCCCACGTGTCCCATCACAGTTATACCCGCCTCAGATACCGCCCGCGCTGCTGCTGTTGCTGCTGCTGCTGCTGCCCAAATCAGACCTCCCCCAGGTCTTACCTACCTTGAGAGCACTGGCAGCGGATCTTCCCTGGGGGCGGAAGCCTCCCAGGGAGCTGATGGCCTGTGGAGTGAGCCCCACGTGGCCCATCACAGCTATACCCGCCTCAGATACCGCCCGCGCAGCCGCCACACGCGCTGGTATGCCCCCCTCTATCTTAACCGCGTCCATGTTGCCTTCTTTTAGCAGTCTCACTGCACTGTTGACCGCCTGAGATAGAAGGGAGAGGAGGGGGGCGAGAGGAGATAGAGTGAATGCCCCCCTCTATCTTGACTGCATCCATGTTGCCTTCCTTCAGCAGCCGCACTGCACTATTGACTGCCTGAGGGATGGACAAGGGAAGAATGGGAAGGGCACAAGAGGAAAGAAATCGCAGAAGCATGGTGCATCAGGTGATGCCACCCGTGCCGGTATGCCCCCCTCTATCTTGACCGCGTCCATGTTGCCTTCTTTCAGCAGTCTCACTGCACTGTTCACTGCCTGAAATAGCAGGGAGAAGGGGGGGAGAGGGAGATCGACTGAACGCCCTTTTTTGAGGCACATTGATTGCCCCCCTCTATTTTGAACGCGTCCATGTTGCCCTCGTTGAGCAACAGGGGATAGGGGATTGATGAGAGGAAAGAAAGAGAGGAACGCTCTGTCTCAGCTGCCGCCACCCGTGCCGGTATGCCCCCCTCTATCTTCACCGCGTCCATGTTGCCTTCTTTTAGCAGTCTCACTGCACTGTTCACTGCCTGAAATAGCAGGGAGAAGGGGGGGAGAGGGAGATCGACTGAACGCCCTTTTTTGAGGCACATTGATTGCCCCCCTCTATTTTGAACGCGTCCATGTTGCCCTCGTTGAGCAACAGGGGATAGGGGATTGATGAGAGGAAAGAAAGAGAGGAACGCTCTGTCTCAGCTGCCGCCACCCGTGCCGGTATGCCCCCCTCTATCTTTGACCGCGTCCATGTTGCCTTCTTTTAGCAGTCTCACTGCACTGTTCACTGCCTGAGATAGCAGGGAGAAGGGGGGGAGAGGGAGATAGAGTGAATGCCCCTTTTTGAGGCACATTGTATGCCCCCCTCTGTCTTGACCGCGTCCATGTTGCCCTCCTTGAGCAATCTCACCGCACTTTCTACCGCCTGCGGGATAATTGAGGGAAGAACAGGAAGGGAAGGGCGGAAGCATGGTGCCTCGGCTGCTGCCACCCGCGCTGGTATGCCCCCCTTGATCTTCACCGCGTCCATGTTGCCCTCTTTCAGCAGCCGCACTGCACTGTTCACTGCCTGAGAACGCATTGAGCAGGGAGGGGGGAGAGCGAGGAGAGCATTGGTTGTGCTGCTGCCACCAGAGCTGGTATGCCCCCCTTGATCTTCACCGCGTCCATGTTGCCTTCTTTCAGCAGCCTCACTGCACTTTCTACCGCCTGTGATAGCAGGGAGGTGGGGGAGAGAGAGGGGACCATGCCCCCCTCCTATCTTGACCGCGTCCATGTTGCCTTCCTAGAGCAACCGCACTGCACTCTCCACTGTGCGCGTAATCCGCTCACCAGCTCCCTTCTCTGCTCACCTGCTCCCTTCTCTGCTCACATGCTTCCTTCTCTGCTCACCTGCTGTGGGCTCTGCTCGTACGTGCCGAAGGGAAGGTCGCCCACCAGTAACGGCCGAGTTGCTCCCCGTGCCACGGCCCTGAGAATAATTGAAAGGAGCTGTGCGCGTGTCTGCTCACTTGCTCCCTTCCCTTCTCTGTTCACCCTGCACTCCTGCTCACATGCTTCCTTCTCTGCTCACCTGCTGCGGGCTCTGCTCGTATGTGCCGAAGGGAAGGTCGCCCACCAGCAACGGCCGAGAGGCTCCCCGTGCCACGGCCCTGAGTTGAAACGGGAGGCAGCAGGAAGGGGAGGGTGAGAGGAAATGCGGCTAGGGCGTGAGGCGGTGAGTTGAGATGACGGTCTCCCACCAGCAAAGGCCGAGAGGCTCCGTGTGCCACCGCCCTGGGTGGGAAGCGGTGGGGAGAGAGGGTGGATGGGGAGGGGGTTGGTTGCTTGCGGTGAGAAATAAGAGAGGCCGTAGGTGCAGTTTTTTTTTTTTTTTTTTTTTTTTTTTTTTTTTTTTTTTTTTTAAGAGTTTGATGAGTGTAGGCCAAGCTACTACCCTTGCTATGGCCCTAGGTTGGGAGAATGGTGGGGAGGGGAGGGATAGTCGTCTGGACTAAAGCATGAGAGAGATGCAGGTTGCCACTATATGCATTACAATCACTTGCACTACAGTTATGTGGCCTACAATCACATGCACTACACTCATGTGCCTTACATACCTATGCAGAAGTTGTGTGTCAATTACACTCACATGCATACTGTCACATGCCATCATCACCACATGCAGTGCATGTAATCACACTCGTTACAGTCACACACATGCATACAATCACCTCCAGTGCAGCAGCATATCGTCCAATGTGATGGGCAGAGTGGTGTCATACCCAACCCATGCACCACCATGACTATTTTTTCAGTACAATCACACTCATTAGAGTCACACTCATGCATGAAATCACCTGCAGTATAATCACCTGCAGTGCAGCAGCATGTCGTCTAGCATGATTGGCAGAGTGGTGTCATACCCATGCACCACCATGGCTGCACGCATTGCTTGTCACAATCACTCTCGCTACAGTGAAACACATACATGCATGTATGTAACATAATCACCTGCAGCGCAGCAGCATGTCGTCCAGGGTGATGGGCAGCGTGGTGTCATTCATACCCATGCACCACCATGGCTGCACGCGCCTCAATACAATCACACTCGTTACAGTCACATACATGCATATAATTACCTGCAGTGCAGCAGCAAGTCATCGCGCATGATGGGCAGAGTGGTGTCATACTTATGCATCACCGTGAATGCATGCATTACTCGATAAACAATCACACTCACTCCCAATTCATACTATCACCTGCAGTGCTGCAGCATGTCGTCTAGCGTGATTGGCAGGGTGGTGTCATACCCATGCACCACCATGGCTGCACGCATTTCTCGATAAACAATCACACTCACTACTGTAACACAATCCTTATAACCACCTGCAATGCAGCAGCATGTCATCTAGCGTGATTGGCAGAGTGGTGTTGTAACCATGCACCACCATGGCTTCACACATTGTTGAATCCTCAACACAATGACACTACTTAGAGTTACACTCATACATAAAATCACCTGCAGTATAATCACCTGCAGTGCAGCAGCATGTCCTCGAGTGTAATTGGCAGAGTGGTGTCATATCCATGCACCACCATGGCTGCTGAGTCGCCCACCAGGCAGATGTCTATGTCCGCCTGTCGGAAGGGGGAAAGGTGGAGAGGGGGAGAGGGGAGCGAAGGAGGGCGGGGAAGAAGCAGTAGTGGGGAAAGGAGAGCAGCTGGGGATGAAGGTGCGGTGTGTGCTCAATGCTCACCACCATGGTTGCTGAATCGCCCACCAGACAGATGTCTATGTCCGCCTGGGTTTGGGGTTTAAAGCAGGGGGGGAAAAGCAGGAGTGGGAATGGTGAGCAGACGGGGATGAAGGTGCAATGCACACTACCATGGCTGCTGAGTCGCCCACCAGGCAGATGTTTATGTCTGCCTGTGGGAAAGGGGAGACGGGGAGAAGCAGCAGCGGGGAAAGGAGAAGGTGTGGTGTCACCCATGCACCACCGTGGCTGCTCAGTCGATCACCAGGCAGATGTCTCTGTCGGCCTGGGAGTAGGGGAAGAGAGGAGGGGAGAAGCAGTAGTGCGGAAAGGAGAGCAGGTGGGGGTGAAGGTGCAGTGCAGCTGGGAAGTAAGGAGAGTGGTGTCATACCCATGCACCACCGCGGCTGCTGAATCCCCCACCAGGCAAATGTCTATGTCCGCCTAAGGTTTCGGGTTTAAGGGGCATGGGGAAAGGGGAGGAAGAAGCAGGAGGAGTGAAGAGATGTGGGAGGGCAATAAACCCTGAACCCAGAATTGAAGGAGGACACCGCGGCTTCAGATTTTTTTAGACGTCTCAAAAACACTCCATTATCATGTGAATAAGCCCTGAACCCAGAATTGAAGGAGGACAACGTGGCTGCTGAATCGCCGTGACCATGACAATGGACTTGGGTTTTTCCGACATACTTGATTCAAAAGCGTTACATTTATCTACCACCAGCTTCTCACCATGTCCATATGCACGGCCGACGGGTAGTCATAGGCCATGACCATGACGACGGGCTACTGTCATACATACACTGTGGTGCCTATCTACATGCCATCTCTGATCCGTTACTAAGCACTCATCTCACCATGTCCACATGCACATCAAAGGGGTAGTCATAGGCCATGACAATAATATTGTCCCTTCCCTACATACACGGTACTGTCTATCTGTCTACATCCTCCTTATGATGATGTCACCAGGCACTCATCTCACCGTGTCCACATGCACGGCGGAGGGGTAGTCATAAGCCATGTACCATGACGATGGGCTATTGTACTACATACACTGTGGTGCCGTCTCTTAGCCGTTACTAGGCACTCATCTCACCCTGTCCACATGCACAGCGGAGGGGTAGTCATAGGCCGTGACCATGACAATGGGCTCGCCGCGCCGGTACTTGCTTGATTGACAGCCTTACGTCTATCTGCATGCCCGCTTCCCACTCCTCACCATGTCCACATGCACGGTGGAGGGGTAGTCATAGGCCATGACCATGACGATCGGCTCGCCCCGCCGGTACTTCCACATCCCATCTCCCTTACCATGTGCACACGCCTACCAGCCAACCACTCACCATGTCCACGTGCCAACCCTCCCCCACGTCTCACCATGTCCACGTGTACAGCCGACCAATAGTCATAGGCCGTGACCATGACAATGGGCTCGCCCCGCCGGTACTTCCGCAGCCCTCCTCCCTTACCATGTCCACATGCAAACCCTCCCCCCCGTCTTACCATGTCCACATGCACAGCGGAGGGGTAGTCATAGGCCGTGACCATGACGATCGGCTCGCCCCGCCGGTACTTGCTCCCCACCTGCTGCAGCGTCACCCGCTGCCGCCCCGCCTCGGGCTTTGGCCCACCATACACCGTGCTGTCTGGAAGGTTGGAGAAAGATCGGTGAAGGGAGGGTGCTCCGCCATACACCTGCTGCAGCGTCACCCGCTGCCGCCCCGCCTCCGGTTTCGGCCCACCATACACCGTGCTGTCTGGAAGGTTGGAGAAAGTTCGGTGAAGGGATGGTGCTCTGCCATAGACTGTGGTGTCTGAGTGGTTGGCGAGTGATCGATGGAGGGAGAATGGATGGAGGAGCGTTCTGCTACACGCAGTGCTCTGTGGGAGGCTGGATGAGTATCGGCAGAGGAAGCTTCGCCCGGGGTTGATAAGGTGAGAGGACTGGTGTTGAGTGAGCGAGGGAGGCGGATGGGAGGAGGATGAGGGGCTGGGCGGCAAGGGAAAGGAGCAGGGATACGATGCTGCCGGAGTGGATGGCGTGATGGTGGAAGCGAGACGAGGAGAGGAGGACGAAGCAGTGGGAGTGGGGGAGTGGATGTCATGGTAGGGGGAGGAGAGGGAGCGGGATAAGATACGCGGGAGCTGCAGTGGGTAAGGGAGAAGAAGGATGAAAGGGAGTAGGAGAGGGGAAAGTAGCTTGTGACGGATTGGCACAAGGGAGGTGCGATGTCTGCGAAAAAGCGACGAATCCCCATCAGAAGAGGAAATTGAAGGTGACTGTTATAGCTCGCAGACAAATCTGAGCGATGCGAATAGGCTCAATGACCAGTGGGAGAAAGACGAGCGTCCATGAAACCAGCAGAAATAAAATACACTCACGGATGGGATGAAATTCACAACATAGAACGAATAAGTCAGTTTTTGGCGAACCAGCACGCACCAGTGCTGACAACACGGCTGGGAAATGACTGGATGACGTCAGCTGCTGTAGTTGCTGCGAGCGCAACGCCATGGCGATAAATGTACCGAACGACCTTTGAGTCGACACGGTCAGGAGACGACGGACTAATGCAAGCGGTGAGAGGTTCGGTCGATTCCGACCGATGAATCAAAAGACGAATTTTAAGAAAGCCCCGGAGTTCCGTTAGCTCGACCAGGAGACGACGGACTCGTAATGCAAACGATGACGGATACGGTCGATTCGAACCGACGATTTTAAAGGGACCTGCTTAGGAATTGCGGAAAATGCGCCGCACTTAGTCCGCGTCCCTAGGGTAGTCAGATTTCTGTTTCCAGCATCGTCCAGGCGTCCCAGAGGGCTTAGCGTCCCGCGGCAACACGCATTCGCGAAACGGGAAAATGCTCGTGGAGCTTTGTGACGCTAATCCAAGCAGTCTGTACCTCAAGAAAGCCGCGACATCGAGTTCTGCTGGGTTCTTGATATTTCTAGGAATCTGGAAATCTGGGAATCTCTGCTGCTCTGGGAAATTTTTGGTGCTGTATTATCGAGGGGGACGGACGAACGTTCGCCAATGGAATAATCGATCAGAGATTACGAAACTCAAGTTACCAGTCCCTTTTCCAAAGTACTACGCGAAACGAAATCGGAATGAACTCCGTTGAGCAACCCCCAGCAGTTTAGTTTCGCGAAAGAGCCGTTGTAGATTGCGAATGGCAGTGTCTCCCCTCCCTCGCAATTTTCTGAACCCGTCGAGTTTCCGTGGTTCTATCACAGTCATTTCACTAGAGAATTCTGAACAATTTGCGTGGAGTTTCAGGTGCTCGTCGCTCTTTGCTCCTCTCCTCACACCCCGCTCTTCGTTTTTCGTTCTTCGTTCCTCACTCCCGCTTCGTTCCTCTCGAAGTCTATTCTACTAGCACGTTGACAATTCCTGGTCTGCGCCGTACCTCGCTTCGGATGTAGGCTCATTAAACACCAACCCCGACGGAGTTTGTGCATAGGCAATCACTAGAAGGCGCGAACCGTGGTTCACATAAGCAACGGTATATTGCCGAAAATGGCGGAGCGGGCTCTAACGCAAAGAATAGCCAGCACCGTTGGCAGCTTGATAGGCAACGAGAAGAGATTGCAAGCCGTAAGTAATCTCGTTTCACAGTCTAGGTCGGGACGTCGCTACCTCCTGCAATCTCAGCCGCTGACGCCTCACATGGCTGGTGTTCCAATCCCCGATTTATTTCAAGAAGTTAATCAGGCTTGATGTAGGCGAATCTCAGCCGTTAAAGCCTCCAATGTCTGTCGTCTTGTCGCCTTCAACAACTTCCATCGTTCGGCTCATATCCGTCATCTTTTCTCGTCATCCAAAACTTTTGTCGTTGGTCTTGATGTTGTCGGCTTCAACAACTTCCACTTCTGCAATGTCCGTTGCGCTTTCCCTGATCCGAATTTCAGCCTGTAGAATCTGGATGACGAGAAGCGATGACTAGATTCTTCTAGTTAATTTGAGGCACATCCATCGCCTAATGTGCCCTCCTCCCTCCCTCCATGCTCGCCGACTGCTAGCTGCTCCGTGCAGCTGAATCTGATAGCAGAGGCGATACGCGTCCCCCTTTCCTTCACTCTGCCCTCCCCCTATCTCCGTCTGTCCATCCTTGTACCCTCATCTCCCCCAACTGATCACTCCACAGGAGATAGAGAGCAGCTCCGTTCAACTGAAGCTGCTAGCTGAGGCGATGGCGAAAGAGGGCAAGATGGAAAGGGTGAGAGGAGAACCAGTTAAAGCACGAGAAGAAGGGAGGAACGGGGGAGGGGAAAGGGGGGTGGGGTTTTGAGCTGTAGAAATCAATTGGAGGTGGTAGTGGGGAGGAGAGCACATGGGGTGGACTTGGGAAAGATCAATGCGGGTGGTGGGATTTGTTGCTTGGCTCTTCTGTCCGCCTTCCTCTACCTCTCCTCGTGTCTGCATTACACCCTTGGTTGTTTCATTCATACCCTCGTTTATGTTGCACCCTTGTCATTTTCACACCCTCGTTACTGTCACACCTGCAGGTGGCGGAGCTAGAGGCAATGACTCACAAGGTGGTGGAGACGGTTCATGAGATGGCTGAGAAAGAGACAGCTACCATACACTCTCGTTTGTGTCACATCCCTGTTTGTGTGACATCCCCGTTTGTGTCACACCCTCTTTTGTGTCACACACAACCACAGGTCGCGGAACTAGAGGCAATGACTCGCAAGGTGGTGGAGACGGCTCATGAGGCGGCCCAGTAAGAGACAACTACCAGTGCATTCTCATTTGTGTCACACTCACGTTTGTGTCACGCCTTCCTTACTGTCACACCCACAGGTGGCGGAGCTGGAGGCAATAACTCGCAAGGTGGTGGAGACGGCTCATGAGATGTCTGAGAAAGAGATAGCTACCATACACTCTCGTTTGTGTCACACCCCTGTTTGTGTGACATCCCCGTTTGTGTCACACCGTCTTTTGTGTCACACACTACCACAGGTGGCGGAGCTAGAGGCAATGACTCGCAAGGTGGTGGAGACGGCTCATGAGATGTCTCTGCATCAGCAGGCATTGGAGGCAGTGCGCGACAGCTATCAATACACTGGAACAGTAATGTACTCGTTATAAACATGCACTCGTTATCGACATGTACCACTTGTTGTTAGGTTGTGCTGCGTTAGAGAGTAACGGCTCATGAGATTTCGCTTCACCAGCAGGCTTTGGAGGCAGTGCGAGACAGCTATCAATACACTGGAACAGTAATCTACTCGTTATAGATGTGCACTCGTTGTAGACATGTACCACTTTTTGTTAGGTTGTTGTGCTTTATTAGAGAGTAACGGCTCATGAGATGTCTCTGCACCAGCAGACTCTGGAGACAGTGCACGACAACCATCATAACACTGGAACAGTAATGCACTCGTTATAGACGCGCACTCGTTATAGGCATGTACCACTTAATGTTAGGGTGCATGAGAGAGTAACTGTTTATGAGATGCACTACACCAGCAGGCGCTCTAGGGAGTGTGAGACCGATACTCCCAGTATCAATATGTAGATTCGTTCGTTATTAGGCTGTGCGTTAAAGAGCAACGGCTCATGAGATGGGATGGCGCTGCATCGGCAGGTGCTGGCTGGAGGCAGTGTGGGACAGCTACCACCACTACACTGGAACATTAATGTACTTGTTCTTATAATCAGATGTACCTCTTGCTATTAGGTTGTGTTGCATGCTCGTGAGATTTCCCTGCACCAGCAGGCACTGCACCACTAGTGTATCGATAACTGTTTCGAGTCGTAGGCTCATGAGAGTGACTTCTGGTCTCACGAGCTGCGGCATGCCACGCAACCTGTTCTTCCTTTCCACCCCTCTCCACCCCTCCCCACCTGTCTCCACCGCTCCCCACCCCTCCCCACTGCTCCCCATCCCCCAGCCCACCAACTTTGAGGAACTCTTGCAGCAGCAGGTGGCAGAGATAGGGGCGGCTCAGCCGTTCCTTCCCACCCCTCCCCACCCCTCCCCATCCACAGCCCACCAACTTCGAGGAACTCCTGCAGCAGCAGGTGGCACAGCTAGGGGCGGTACAGCTGTGCCTCTGCACCCCTCTTCACCGCTCCCCACCTCTCACCACCCCTTCCCATCCTCCAGCCCACCAACTTTGAGGAGCTCTTGCAGCAGCAGGTGGCGCAGCTAGGGGCGGCTCAGCCGTGCCCGGAGGACCACCACATTCTGGTGGCATTCCGACAAACCATCCGAGTGGGTTGTGAACGGTTCAGGGGTACATGGGTGTTGAATAGAGAGGGGAAATGACACGGGAGGTTCAGCCGTGCCCGGAGGACCACCACATTCTGGTGGCGTTGTGGCAAACCATCCGGGTGAGTTGTGAACGGTTATCAGGGGTATGTGGGTCTTGAATAGAGAGGGGAAATGACACGGGAGGTTCAGCCGTGCCCGGAGGACCACCACATTTTGGTGGCGTTCTGGCAAACCATCCGGGTGGGTTGTGAGTGGTATTGAGGGTTAAGTGGGTGTTGGATAGGGTGGCTCAGCCATGCCCAGAGGACCACCACATTCTGGTGGCGTTCCGGCAAACCATCTGGGTGGGTGAGAAGGGGACAGGATGTTGAGATTGTAAATGATGAATCATGGTGTCATGAAGTCATGGTATCATGAAGTCATGGTATCATGAGCTGATGCCTGCTCCCTCCTCCCTGCTGCCAATTCCTCCTCATGCTTACTTCCCCTCGTCCCCTCATGCCAGAGTGCGAGGCAGGGGGGAGAAGGTGGGGGGGATGATGATGACGAGGACGATGAAGTCATGATGACAACCAATCTGATTGTGAAAAATACCAACTGCCCAATCACAATGCGCCATGTGGAAGAGCTGGATGACCCTGTCTGTTGGTGAGAAGAAATAAGCATTCCTTTCTTTTCTTAAGCTTCCACACTTGTAGATACCTTTTGCTGGCAAAAGAGTTTCTGTATGCGTGCTGAAGAGCATTCTGATTTTGATGGTAGTGGCTGTGCTCTCGGCTGCTGATAACTCTCTCTCTTGCCCCCTTTTCCCCCCTCCCTCCCGGAACCACATCCCTTTCTCCCCCACTCCCTCTCCCCCTCCACCCCCTCCTTTCCAAAGCACATACCCTCTCACCTCTAATTTCCGACCCAAACACCCAATCACTCTTTCCCCTCCCCCCCTTCGCTCTCCCCCCTCCCTGCTCTTCTCAGCTTGGATTGTCGCCACGTCTATGAGAAGAGCGCGATACTGGAAATCATATCCCAAAACAACAACTGCCCTGTCTCTGGTGAGTATTCCCCTCTGAAACTGGTTCTCTAAACCACTTGATTTATTAAAGCAGACGTGTTCAACTGTTATGGTTGCACGAGTCAAACAAACAGTTCCCTGGGTCGTAACTGTGCGTATGTCAACGACTCTTTCTGCCTTTCACCGGTTCATGCTTTCTCCACGATTTGTTTTTACGTGTTTACAGGTTGCCTTCAGAGATTGCGTCGGGACCGCTTGGCGTGTGACACTGAATTGATGAT